CATAAAACGCATCATCATCGCGCCTAGAGCGAGGCGGACGGTCCAGGTCACGTTCTCGGTCACGTTCACGATCGCGCTCGCGGCGTGATGGCGGAGGCGATAGGCGACTACGGTCAGTTGTCAAAAGGTTCTCTGCCATGGTCGACTTGCGATGGTTTCGCTCGCGTTCAGCAATCGCCTTTCGCCTATCTGCCTCATATGCATCGGGTTCTGGGCTGCGGCTGCGCCGGCCACCACGCCCGCCGCCGCGATGTGAACGATCGCCGCGAGATCGATCTCTTTCACGTCTCGAGACGTCTCTTTCGACGGAAGCCCGGTCGTGGCGTCGATAGGCACGATCGGCGTCATCTTTCTCGCGTAACCTGCGGAGATGTTTCTCAAAGGCACTTCGCCGGAACTCTTCGGAAATGACGGCCTGGAATTCTTCTGATTTCAGTAGTCTAGGTCGTACCTTGTCATATGTATCGCTCAGTGCGACTGGCGGCTCTAGACGCTTAATGTACGCACGAAGATCATCAATAGCCCGGCGCTGCTGCCGGTCGGGCTGTCTATCATCTTCACGCTTCGAGGCACGCTTCTCGCGCAGCTGGTTGGGGAAGAATGTTAGCATACCGAAACAGAAAGTCATGTGGAAGCATATAACTTACGCGATCGAAAATGAGTTTGAGAATATCACGATCAATGTTAGCTGTACGGTGATCATCTTTCATGATGGATAGGAACTCCTCAAGATCACTTGTTGGGGTGAGATCAAACCGCTTATCCTAATGTCCAGCAGGTCAGCCTTCTGAAGCAGTGCAAGGGGTTTACTGGATCGGGGAGTCTTACTTCAAGGACATCAAGCACATCATTCTTAGGGCCACGGAGGGATCGCTCTTCCTCTTCTACCACATCCCAAAAGAGTTCTTGGGGAGTAGATCCGGCCTGGCCAACCATGTTGAGGTAGCGTTCGTCATTTTCAATAAGAGGAACAATCTGGCTCCACTTAGTACCAGCGTTGATCTTGCCATCTTTGCGGAGAGAATCCAGCAGGGACTTGAAAGCATCTCTCGCCGTGCGCTCTTGGCGGAATTTACGACTCTTCTCCTCTTGTTTATTCTCAATAAAGGCTCGTTCCAAACCTTTCATATGGTTTTGGAAAGCGGTCAAGATGTCAAATTGACTGAGGGTTTGATACTTTTCATTTTCTTGGAGAGTTGGGGTGGAGGAAATGATCTCCCTGGCATCCGCCCAGCGAGTGTAAGCCTCGAGGTTGAGCTTAGGAAGCAATTCGATCAGGCCATCCATGGCACTCTTCTTTTGGCTAGCCTGCTGTTCCTTGTGAGTCTTCTTCAGTCCGATGATATACTCCTCAAAGAGCTGTCGGCGCTCGTCCTCATCGTTGGTGGACCGGAAAATGGTCTCCCCTTCGATCATGGGTCTAGCGGTTTTCCATCGGGTGTAGTGGGTGATTTCAGGGTGCCGCTTCAGCATCGTTTCGAAGTCAGCACGCAACTTGGTCAGCCTCTCTTTGGCACGCTCTTTGTCTTGGAGGATCATGTCCTGGCAGTACTTCTCGAAAGCTTCTTTTCTCTCTTTTGGATCCCTAATTGCACGAAACTGCGGATCTTTGGCGATGACACGAATTGTTTGTTCCCAATTCCAATCTGACTGGACGCCGCTTCGTTTCAGCAGCTTGACGAATGCTGCCTCGGCTTCTTCTTGAGAGGAATATTCCGGATCATTCGTGGCGGGGACGAAGGCCGGCTGCGCCTTGGAGTCGTTTCCATATGATATTTGACGAGATTCGGGGTACGGTTCGCGGGAATCGCGAGTATCACGAGAATCGCGGGAATCGCGAGAGTATTCATGTCCTGTAGCTGGATAACCGCCACCTTGCGAATATGGAGTCTGGGGAACGGGATTGCTCGGCCCACCAGTCGAACCCAGAGCTTTCTTGTATGCTTCAGGCATCTCCCAAGAGCTCTGCTGTGTCTCGGTATTGTACCAATACTTCCGGCCACCCTCTGCGGTATACTCTTTCCATGGCTGAGACTGGAGAGCGCGCTGCGAAACGAAACAAACACGTTAGACAAGAGCAAGAAGGTGACGAGATGGATGACGCCAAAGAATCGTAGAGGGGAAGAGACGTAAAGAAGAAGAAGACTCACCTCTGCCAGACTCATCATCTCTTCTGGCTTGGTCCATTGCGTCACCTTGGTAACGTTATTGTAGTAATATGCTCGACCCTCAGGCGTCTTGTGTTCTTGCCAGGCCGAGGCCGGCTGCGGGAAGGGCGGCGCAAAGCTGCTCATTTTGCCGGCGCCAGATGTAGTGCTTTAAGGCCTTATAGAAGATGCTCGCGATCAGGTCTTGGCCGTGTCTCAATATGCGCGAGCGATTGCGATGGCTGGTCTGGCGTCGACAGGAAGCCTGACTCTGGTTCGGTGCTAAATTTTGTAGCGACGCAGCAATTGCGCGAGACACGCACCTTTGCTGCGGTGCACGGACCAGCGTCGGGGAGATCGTTATGCAACTAACCGGACTCTGCAAAATCGGGGTGCGCCTCAGCCCCTGTAATAGCTTATCCAGCCTCTCTCTCCACGTTGGAGCTCAAGTGAGCCTGAGCCGGATGGAGACATACTGGCGGGCATTGTATTGCTATTAGCTTTTATAATTTATGGGAAGAGGAGGAAATGGTTCACATTCTGATGAGATCTATGAAAACAAGTATTTTTTCACCTTTTGCTCTCTAATCCGTCATGTCCATTCGCATTACTGTACCAAGTCCCGCCACAACCCCTGGGCTGCCGACACCCCTCCAGCTATCCATAAACACCACCAATGCGGCAACGGAGCTCATCAACAACTCTTACCTCACGTATCTCGTCCCATCCGAGACAAACATAAACCTAGAAAATGCCCTCGAGGGCTTTGATGGCTCGAAGCCGATACATGAATTGATTGAGCAAAGAGATACGTTATTCTTCGGTAAGGAAGGGCCAGGCTCACGGATCTCACCGCCCATAGTACGAATGTCGAACATCACTAACATGGAAGAGTATCTCACGTTAAGACGAGACCGTTGACGTCTTGCTTGTCCTCAAGACACCATGGCTTCCGAGGAAAGAGCTCGACTACCATCTCAGCAGGATAAGCATATCTCTGGAAGCACAAGTGGCCAACAGTAGTCTGCCCGGCCGCGAGTCGCCCAGTGCCTCGGAGAGCATCTTCAGCGGGAGGCTGCAGGAGACAAAGAACCCTTTCATAATTGAGGAGGAGATCAAATACGAGAGTGGTGCTGAAGAGGAAGAGGAAGAGGAAGAAGAGCCGCCGCGGCATGTATATGCCATGTGGAAAATGCCCGTGCTTCTCCTGAGGCCGCGGATGCGTCTTCATAGCCCCTCTGTCGTCTTCTCTGCATCCGCAAGCCTCGATCCAGATCTCTGGACGGAGCCGATCGCCCCAGATGTCGGCTATCTCACCAGCGGGATGCCATCCGGCCTCAACCTCCTCGAGTCTTTCAGCAGCGACTCTGCTCTCAACGGCGTCAAGCCGCGCCTATCAGCGTTGCGGGTATCAAGAGTAGCCCCCGTCACGCGGCAGCAGGACTTCATGACCCGCCTCCGCACGCTGCCGCAGCTGAGCATCAGGATCTTCCCAGTGCTACACACCAGGATACGCTTCTCCCGCCCCAGCACGATCCCCCTGAGCCCAACCATCGTCGCCCTCCTGGAGATCGACTTCACCTCCCACTTCAACTGCGAGGCGCTCCTCAACAACATCAGGCTCTCGACCCCCAGCGGCACCGTCGAGAACCTAAACGATGCAGCCGGCCTCAGCCTCCCGCTCAGCTGCGTCTCGCATGACCACATCACGTTCCTCTACCACATCAAACCCAAGCAGACTGAGGCCAACATCCCCAGAGACACCTCGGCAAACCTCGAAATCTCCATCTCGGCCGCCGTCCACGTTGTCCCTGGCATCTGCACCCCAAGCCTCAGCATGAGCTGGACCACCGCCATCGACTTCTCCCTCCCCGTCAATCCCAGCTTCGGCACGGCCTCCGAGTCCGGCATCCAGCGCTCCCACCGGCCCACACAGCTCTCCATCGGCAGCGTCGCCCAGGCCATCAATCACCTAAAGTCCCCCTCCGCGATCCGTCCAGACGCCCTCCCCTCGCTGGAAGCGTCCACCAACCGCACCGAAGCCGTCGTGCCCGACCTCGGCATCACCATGTCTTTCACCGCGCCTTCCCACCCAGTCCACCCTGGCGACATCTTCTCCTGGACTGTCTACGTCGTCAACCGCACCTCCTCCGAAAGAGGCGCTAACCGCCCACCGCGCAAGCTCGCCCTGGTTGCAGTTCCCAAGCGGCGACGCAACGAAGTCCGGCCAATCCGCCCCCTGTCAAGCAGCGGTCGACGCCGCGGGGAGAAGGAAATCGCAGACGCAGTCCTGGACGAGAACGTGCTCCACGCGCTACAGAAGAGCGCCGTGGTCGAGTCAACGGAGCTCATCTGCCTCAGCGCCGATACGCGAGTTGGTCCCGTGGCACCGGGCGCCTGCCATGTCACAGAGCTGCAGTTTTTGGCGTTGCGGGAGGGTATTGTTGGGCTAGAGGCCATTCGGGTCGTCGACTTAGGGTCACAGGAACACGTCGATATTAGAGATTTACCAACCATGATAGTAGAACCAATAGCAGCGGCTGCTTGAACTTTAGATAGCAGCTCATATGTGTTGAATTTTTTTTTTTTAACATCTACTCTATTTTCTGCTTCTCATAATAATATGCACAAAGACGTTGATCCGCATTTGTATAAAACATTTTTCTTTTCATGCAACTGTACCTCAGATGAAACATCATGCTTAAACGCCATTGACCCCACGCTCACGCATCCTTTGTTTTTTCCTCTTCAAACCAAAAAAAGAAAGAAAGAAACGGTAATAATCCTCCGGATATAATAATACTATGCCTGTAATGCAACTTCGCTTGCCAGAATGTATCAAAATTTACCATCTCATAAGTCATCAAAGTCATCATCCCACCCAAGTCTCTCAAAAATAGACGCGCTCTTCTTCTTTGACTCCTGCGCCTTTCCTTCAGGAGTAGCATATAAATCAATCCGCTGTTGTGTAGTTTTCTTGATTGGTGTCTCCATAATTTCAGGAGCGTCATATCTGCTTCTCGGAGGCTTACCCACACTGTCCGTAATAACAAGATCTTCAGATGCCGCTTTTCTTTGTGCCACCGGAGAGGAAGGAGGATACGCTGACGGCTCATTCAACGGCCGGCGTATGAAGCTAGGCTTGGCCGAGGTCTTTATCGGGGTATCGTTTATGGCATCCGCCACAGGAGAAGGGCTGCGATTGTACAGTTCCCGGAGAACAGGTCGCTTGCCTGTGGAAGGAACAAAGGGTCCCACGCTCGACGGGGGGATTAATTCATCAAAGCTCTCTGTGGCCTTTTGACTCTCAGGCTTGACAGGCATCATGTTCTTGAACCGGTTATTTGCTGGTGTAGCTTTGACTTGAATGGTTGAAGCTAGAGCGCTCCTTGAAGCCGCCTTTTTCGGTTCTTGAGAACTTGTTAGTATTTCATCTACAAAAAGTTTTTAGGGTGGAGAAACAATACTTTTAGCGGCAAGACTGGCAGATGTTCTACGCTCATCTGCCTCAGCCATTGCTTTGCTCACAACCTCCCGATTAGGCTTCCTCAGAGCTGAAATAGCCTCCCTGAGTTCAGCATCAACCTCCGCCTTTTTATTGGCTCTAGCATCAAACAGGTTGTTCATGCTGCTACTTCGTGACAGAGACTGTGCCCTCCTCTGCGACTCAGTAGAGAGCAGCGACATTGGTCCAGATGGATCTAAGCTTTCTCTCTTGATACTCGGGAGAGTCGTAGAGGTGGCCGACCTTAAAAGCGCAATGGCGTTGCTAGGACCTCTTGAAATACTTCTTCGATGCTGCTGCTCAGTGGAAAGTGCTCGCTGCAAAGTCCTCCGAGAGTTTAGGGGTTGAGGTCGTTTTGCCGCAGCACCAGGTTTCTGATCGCGTGTACTCAAAGGCTTTTTCACAGATCTGGTTTTGGAAGGGGCTATGATCACAGGACCACCAAGCTTTCGGTTAATTGAGTCACAAAGGTCAGGCAGGCGTGCAGAAAAGCTGAACGCGAGTTAGTCTCAAGTGATTATTCAGAGCTGGGAGGAATACCTACAAGGGCATAATGACATCAACACAGAAATCTCTGAGGGGTTCAGAAGACGCCTTCTTATCTAAGCTGCCGTCCAGGGGTGTCTGTAGAGAAGGGCTATCTTCAAGTAGCAACTGCTCATCGCTTGCAGTAGACTGCCAGATAGTTAGGCGATCGGCGTGGACATCCAGCAGAACCGGAAGATTATGCTTGTTTCTTTTTTTGGGCGGAGGTTGTAAAGCGCTCTCCAGCAGGTCTTCTGAATCAGCAGCTCCAGGTAAAGTGGGCAAGCTGACCTCACCAGTGTCGCCGGTAGCCTTTAGGGGTTCCAGAGCAAGAATCTCCATAATGACAATCATTTGCAGCTTTGTCTCTCTCGTCCGCAAGATAGAAACAAGAGACTTGACTTGTGACGGAGTAATAGGAGCATCATCGTTGGGTTCCGGCTTGTTTGCAGCCCACCATCGCATAACGCTCTCATCTTCAAGCGGATACAGCCCACTTTTACCAAGCTTCATTCTTTTGGGTTTGCGTTTCCGTTTGCGGCCTTCATCAGAGCTCTCAATTCGATCCTTAAGCTTGGTGATGATTTCTGGTATTGACTCGCGATATTTTTTGTCGATTTGAACTGTTGTGAGAATGAGGCTTTTCAAGAAGTCTATGAGGTCATTCATATCCAGATTTGACTCCAAGTCCAAGTGGAATGTTGACCGAGCTCTAGACAATGGTCCTTTGGCAAAGTACGCTAATGATCCCTGCGGCAAGCATGAGCAAGAGTAACAGCAAGGCAACCCGATACTGTATTAACGTAACATACCATGGATTTGTACAGCGCATCAAAATATTGGGTTCTGATGCCTTCAAAGATATCGTCTGCTGACTGTTGCGGCTCGGGTTCCCTACCAATTGCCGCAACCTGGCTGAGAGCGGCGCCGTGATTCTTCTCTTCAGACGTTGGCAGTGGGACTTGCTCTAGACTCATATCTGGTGATGGCTGCTGTACCACCAAGGCTTCGGGCTCCGGCGGCTGCTCTTCTTTTGTTACGTGTCCGACAGTCGATACAGATTGCGATCTCACGCGTTTCCTCATCTGGGACTGGATGGCTTCGATCGCGGCCCTCTTCTTCTTCTGCTCGACATGCAGTTGAGGGGTCGTAAGTGCATCGACCCCGTGGTGCTCAGCTCGCTCACTCTTCACCGGATAGAGCTGCTCATATCTAACAGCTGTGGCCTTCTGCGCCAAACTTTCCAGGTCTGCCCATGACCCCAACTTGCAAATTACATACAGCCCGTTGGACTGTCGCTCAAGCGCATAAGTCGTGCCCCTCAATTCGTTCCGCGCAATAAGCACAACGGGTGCCGGGCCCAGGCGACTCTCGAGATCAAGAACATGGATGTACGATTCGTAAAACCGAGACTGTGGGAGGTCGCCGTTCGAAGCTGCAAAGTCTATATATGCCAACGGGAGGTGCTCTCGCGGCAGAAGCATCAACGGATGTAAGACGCGGGGTGGGATATGCAAATTAGGCGGATGCGGCTACCACAACGAACGTAAAGAATCAGCAGCGCTCTCTCACTAGCTATGGCCTATTTTCCCAGAGTTTACCTTTACCGCAATTGACGGCTTGAGCAGCTGCTCCATGGTGCCTTTCGCTCTCGACTTGTGCACATCGCGGCCTGGCGAAGAAGCTCTATGCGGGTGATTCAAGCTTCCTTCGGAAGTGGGCGTCAAGATGCCAGACCGCGCACGCGACGCGTCTTCATAGACGTCGAGCAGCGTGGACGAGGACATGGAGACGAGCTGGCAATCAGTCACAGCTTGGCATTATTGAAGGAGGAAGGCAAATCATATAAGGGAACGACACTCAAAGGGAAAATGCAAAGGGAGCTTCACACAGTTCAACAACGACTAGCATATTGAAGGGATGTTGTTCTGCCCTTTCTTCAATGGGAAGTGGTGGGGCCGTGCGAGGCGCGTTTGCGCGTGCTCTTTCGCTAAACACAGGCCGCCGAAGCTGTGACGTCGTTGGACTAAGGTCTTTACTCTTTGTACTATTTTTTTTTTTCCCCCTATGGTACCTAGGTAGGTACTTCAGTACAGGACGCAGCCCTGATCCCCGACCCTAGCAACCATCTGTAAAATACATACTTTTATGCTTTTTTATGCTTCTTCTTCTTCTTGTTTCCCTCTTTTCAACTCTAAATTGGGCTGCATGGGCTACAAATTCCTAGTTGCCAGGCGAAGGGAATTGATTTGCCGAAGCTTGTTTCAGCTTTTTTGCTCGTGGCGTGGAACTTTAGCGCTGTCCGTTCAGCTGGTTGACCAGCTCCTTGAACCTCGTGGCAGTAAGTCGCTGATTGGCTCTGAGCCGCAATTGACTTTGAGGCGCGTCGGAAGTCAGAACATCTTTTCTGCAAATCGCAAGATCGACTACTCTGGAGATAGCATGGAATGAAAAGGCTTTAGTTGAGATGCCGACGAGCCGAATTCACGTAAATCGGTACTGCTGCCATCTCCTCAAGTAGAGCTGAACCAAAGACTGGTAGGATAAGTACATGCAGGTAGAGAGTACACCCATATACACACATCGCGAAGGGGCGCCATACAAGTCATCTTGGAATGTTCGTAAGTATAGTATATGTAAGTAGATGTTTTTCTCCTGCTATTATTCGACTACAATAGGTATTATCGAAATAGCATGCATAGTGAACCCATCACTGTCCCAACTGCTTTCAGCGTCCGGGGTATTCCAGCTCCAGTCCCACGCCAAAGCGCCAAGCATTGACACAAAGGTCTCTCTAATGGAGGCGCAAATCATTCAGAATCCAACCGCACCAGGGCCATGACAAAGGAAATCCAAAATAGGGAAGAAGAAAAAAAAGCCTTTCCATGATGTTTAAAAAATACAAAGATGCCATACCGCTCCTCATACAAAAACCAATGCTCATATACATGCCGAATGCTAAGCAATCTTGACAAAAGAAAATAAGAACGAAAACAACCAAGGGGCAAGGGGCAAGGTTGTTTTTATAGTGTACAGAATTACTGATGGAGCTCTCAAGTGAAAGCATCTGTGGCAGGCTCGCCTGTCCACATCAGAGCATGCCCATGGACGACTGGTATGGAACGGCAAAATCTGAAGACGATTCGCCGGCATTCGATGAATAAGGCCAGTTATAATCTGAGCTGTTCGTATAGCCAGAAAAATAACCAGCACCCATTTGGTAGGGAAACATGGGAGTTGTAGGCTGGCTGGAGCAAGCTTTGATACTATCGTAGTCGGCGGCCGTTGCCTGAATTGACGTATCAAGATCGTCCGAATAGCCAAAGCTGCCCATCGCATAGGAGGTGCCGTTGCCGTTGAACGCAAAGGTCTCTAAAAAGGCCGGCGTCGCCGGGGGCGTGCGCAAGGTAGGATCCTGGACCAGGGCCGACGAAGAGTATTTAGTAATTAAGGGGAACAGGCCACCATTGACATTGTGTGACTCTGCGACGACGGGAGTATTAGGGGTTGGAGGTGCCGCTGATCCTGCAGCCATTGGCGATCGGTTTCTTTGAAAAAAGGGGCTCCGTGGTGTGGCAGAAGACGCAGATGACTTGCGGACTCTTCCGGTTCCTGACGTAGAGACAACTCGGCGCATTGAGCCAACCTGTTCAGAGCGTCGAGACGCATCAAGACCAATTCTTGAGCCACTCGAGAAACTTCGAGAACCATTGATTGACAGCTGGGGGGTTTGGCGATTGCGGCGAGAAGCAATGTCCGTCGGGCAAGGAGACTTGAGTCGCCTATCCGGGCTGTTCGGAAGAGCAGTCTGGTCCAAAAATGATGTTATCCGCTCGAGGTCCATGTCCTGGAACTCATTGGCATAATTGTTGGTAGCATCTTCAATGGAAAGCATGGTGTCCAGGGCCGACGCATTAGCGAAAGACATGCTTGAATCTAGCGCCGAGACATATTCATGCTCGTTTTTTGAAGGGGACACGGCCTCATCGGCAGCGTCATCTGTGGCAAAAAAATGCTGCTCATCTTCCGCATCGTGGAACATGTGAGAAGATACAGAGCCAATGTGTGGCGTCACGGGCGACGTGGCCTCGTAGGCATCAGTGGAGCTTTCGGATGTAGTTGAGAGCTGTGAAGGAGCATCTGGGGACTGCTCTTTGGTTTGTGAGGTCTGTCGCGGCTCGGGAAAGGGGGCAGAAGAGGCGCCTAGGCTGCGTTTGCGATCTGAACCTTCGAGGCCAGTCTCTGATGGATTGGTCCCTTCTTTCTCAGCTCGCTGCCTGGCTTCATACTCTCGAATGTTGTTTTCCTTCTTTTCGCGAGCCCTTCTGTTCTGGAACCAGTTCTAATAGACGATTAGCAAATTGTTATCCTTCACTTTCACTGAGGCAGGTGTAAGTACATTGATGCGTGCATGATCAACCCTCATGCTCTCAGCCAACGCCTTCTTAGTGCTGCTGTTTGGCTTGTGGTTTTTCTGGAATTCAGACTCGAGAAGGTCCACCTCTTCTTTTGAAAGCCGTGGCTTTGATTCTGTCGTCCGAGTCATCTGCTGGTGGTGAACAAGATGGGTATGCTGTGCCTGGTATGCCTTCATGGATTCCGCAAGCAACGAATAGTCTGGTAGCTGGGCATATTGTGTGAAATCGTCAGTGGCAGCAACGGAATAGGTCCATGCTGGCCACTCTGATTGAGAAAGGTGAACCATGGTTCCTAGTAGGGACCGTAAGAGGCGAGAGAGGGGGCGGTTTGTAGACCTGACGGCCACTGGGAATACAGTCCGGCTTGAGACTTATGTAGTCGGGCTAGTATTCAGGCTGCCGATTACCTCTTTTTTAGAGGGAGCAAACCAATGGGGGCGGCTGCTGGACTGGAATCGAAAAACGATATCCCGCGAGACAGGAGGTGATGACAAGAGGCGGCTCCCGGATCTTTAAATACTCCTTGGTCTTGAATGTAATATCGGCAACTAAGGGGAGCGGAGGAGATGGGAGAAGAGGGATTCTCGGGCTGAGAGCCGTTGTCGATGACGATATGAAGACGATGGTGAGGAAGAGGAAAGAAGGAGAAGGGGACTTTGAGACAAGGGATTATACTGAGGTCGTCTTCTTCAACGGGCTTGTCAAGGGGATCTGGCGTTGACGGCGAAAGCGGATAGAAACACTGAGGGACAAGATCCGGGACAGATTTGGAGGGGCGGAGGAAGATACAAGTACTCGCTAGAGAGGCCCTTGATATGCATCTGGAAACTCGGTAGTGGTGTTGTCGACCCGCCGCGCATCGCTGTGGCGGTTTTCATCCCTCTGCAGCCATGGTGGTACGAAGTACATGCGCCGTACTCGGTACTGGTGAGGGCATCACCCTGGTCAAGGCGAGACCAGGGTGCGCTGAGCAGGGGTTTGGAGCACCGATACCCCTGGCCTCCAGGGCGGGCAAAAGGCGCTGCAGCATCAGCACACGCAGCGACGGGGGGTGCATCAGCTGCAGGCTCGCTGGGTGGGCCGCAGCTTGGCGCAGATTTTGGCGCCCAGAGCGCTCGCAGCACAGGCCCAGGCTTTTGGGCCGGAGCACAGGCTAGAGCCACCTGGAGCAAAAGCCACCCACAGCCCTGGCCCAGAACCAAGCAGCCAGGAGCTCGAGCCCAGCCCGGATGCGCATGGCCTAGCGCCTAGAAGGGGTTGCAGTCAATCACAGAGCGCTTCCGAATGCCGCCAGGTTGCCCGTGGATGCAGAGACTCGCAGCCGCAGCGGTGGCGCCAGCGTCCAGCGTGGGCGTTCGCCGCGATGGGAGCCTGCGAGTCGCTGTCGGTCAGTGCGCGCCAGGCCCACGGTGGGACTGGGGAAGGATGCCAGCACAGGGAACGGAGAGGAGGCGAGACGAGGCCCTGGGCAGACGGCGTCAACGTGGACGTGGATGCAGGCGTCCTTGGCCGTGAGCCTTGCGCTCCAGCAACGTGGAACCTGCGCCTGCGCCGTACTGTATGAGCGCAGGGAATACGAGTGCTATACCCAGCTCGGATGGCCTGGAGGAGGCCCGGCGGGATAACGCGATGGCATCCCGCGTGTCATTCGCGGCAGCCAAGGAGGAAGACGAGAGAGACGAGAGAGACGAAGAGGGCGGGGGCACGCCCATACCGGACGCGGTCTGTCCTTGATGACAATCTTACTCGGTGCAGATACCCTTCAACACTAGGGAGCTAGGGAGGACAGGCGGCCAGAAGACGGCCTTCCAGTGTTGAGCAATTCCAGTATAGCACCAAGACAGCTGAGGAGATGCAGCCGCTGCCTCGCGCTCTGTACAGGTACAAGCTTAAGCTCGGGTCTTGCCTCGGCGCAGACGCTCTCAACAGGTACCCGTGCTCGCACCACGCATGGAGCATGTTGAGAAGCTTCATCGCGGCGCTTCCCAATAAGAATCTCACGACCCAGGCGGAGAGGCGTAACTTTTGTCAAACATGCGACGGTGTGCCCACACTGAGATTCTGGGCCTCTGCAAACCTACCCAAACGCTCGAGCCAAAATGGTGTGAGATCCACCGGCAGCACCACCAAGGCCACTGCAGCTCGCGTGCTGTGGTGCAGCGAGTTGCAGCAGACCTTGTCCTTGTCCATCCCGGCCGTCGGTAGGTCCCAGGGCGTCCGGCGCTGCAATTGGACACCGCACCGCAGCCTCCGTCGACGCAACTGAGCGCGGTTGGGATGAACCACCCACCAGGTCGGGGAGCTGCCGCTAGGCCTACCACAGCGCGGTAAGAGAGACGGCTGCGCTGTTCTGCTCTGCTGCTCTCAGTGCTGCTCTCACTGCACTGCAGCGGGCACTTGCGCCGATCCAGGCGGCAGCTACCTTTGCTTGCTTTGGTCTGCATCTGCATCTGCGCCTGCGTCAAGAGCGAGTAACACAGCTCCTTCCTGCTGCGGCTGCCTCCTGCCTAACGGGTTAGCGTTGCTGTATCGCTCCTACCAACTCTGTACTTGCTGTAAAAGTACGAGCCTGCTGCCCAGTAGCTGCGATTAATGGAAAGGGCTTGAGAAGGTTTGAAAAAATCCCTCTTTTGGGCGTAACGTTCGTCGGCGCGTCATCATCCGCAGCCAATCTGCTTACTCGGTCGTTACCTAATCTACACATCTCTCCCGTCTCGTCTTTATCGCTGGGTACCTGGCACTACTGTACAAATATCATCGTGAAAAATCTCGCTATCTGTGGTTCACGAGAAGCTTCATTTCACCTAATTTGCCCGCTAAGTCCTCCGGGGTTTTCCATCTTCTCTTACCAGTGTGGCCACCGCACCTGGCCCGGACTGGCCCGGTCGAGCAGGTCGACTAGATTGTGCTCAACCTCTGCACACCACCACTTCGCCATCTGCCTTCCGGAGCCTGCGCAAATGATGCCCACGCCCTCAGGCTGCCTGTGCTAAACCTCTTCCGAGACAAGCTCGCCACGCTCCAAGAGGCGGCAGTGACTGGACGTGATTCCCAACTTTTCCTGCCATGGCGCTATACCCCTGCTGCCCTGATTTAGCCATGATGCACAGAGCCTAAAAGAGTTTCTGTGTGGATTTTTTCTTCTTCGCAGTTGAGGACATGCTCCGGCACCGTCTTGGGGGGGGGGCCAAAAGGCGGTTCGAATGGCATCATGGCTGTATGCTAGGGCGCCAAGCGTCCAGAGCTGAGGTACTTGTTTCCTATAAGAGCATTCTATTTTCGTTCCAAGACAATTTTCCCTTGCTGATGAGGCGATGACGCTATTCATTGGATAATAAAATCAGTTGCCGCCACTGTCACACAGCATTCAGCCTCGTCGTCAAAGTACATCGCAGCTCTCATGATGCGCACGCATACACACACGGGATTGTCACCTCATGGCACATCCACGCTGCCTATCCTATCTCGACCACACGCATTTCCCCTCTCTGGCAGCCAAAGTCTTTGCCCGAAGCAGTTGGATCGACCTCTCGGAGCGACCCCACCGTTCCGAGGCCCGTCCTTCGCGGAGCTTTGCCTGTTTCGGGACCATCGCACACAGCCTGTCAATCCTCGATCCTTGCAAGCTGCTCTACCCCAGGCAAGCAGGCCCAAACCCAGATTGAGCGCCATTGCTTTTGCCAGCCCATTTCGCTTATTCGTCACGCTGATTTGCCGTACTGATTCGCTGTCAAGCCCAGCTTCACAACCGCAGTCACCCATCACCGCCAGGAAATAAGCCGCATTGACTTGTCTGGTCTGCCAGATTGGTACGCCCAAAGTGCTTAGCTCACCAGATATTATCCTTCCTCCTTTAAACGGCAGCGTGTAATTAGCAGCAGACATCAAATCAAGCCAACACTGAACGGTGGGGGGAGGCGCCACGGAGTTTTAGCGCTCCGGTATACGAAGGTTCCCTCGGTCCCGTCGGTGCCAGACACGATGGGTTATAACACGATAAATCTCAGGCCGTTGAAAATCCATTCTTTTTTCTAGTCAAATGCTACAGCATATTTCTCTGCTCTCTGAGAACACGAGTCCACCCTCACGATACAGCATCACCTTGCCTGTGCAACCTTCAAGCGCAGTTACTTCTTATTCCTAATTTCCAAGAAATGACAAGCTGCGCTGTCTTATGCACTATTACAAGGTGACGGCTAGGTAGCAGCGTTACCATACTCGTAATTTATTACTGACATAATTGCTCACATTGGGTTATAGGATTTTTGCCATCAATGTGATACGATCAGTAAGGAACGAACAATACCGCTACATTCGCACAACACAGAATACTCCGCATTGTCATACCGTGTCTCATTGGCGGTGTGCTCAGTGCGCAAAGCTGACTAACCTCAAGAAGCAAGGTCTTGCTTGTTAAATGAAAAATGGCGTCCTCAGCTGAGAAAAGCAAGCCATTCGCCTACCAAGGAGCGCCACCTCTAGCTATATCTGATCTAGCGGTCGAAGGCTTCTGTTATAGCTCAGGAGATGATGCGCATCACAGTCGCTTACAGAACGTGTCACGGCGCTCAGGCCAACAGCAAATCTAGCTATTACACCCCACCAACGCAGTCCTCCACCTCAACCAAAACGTGTGCCAGCACGAGAGAGAGTAGGTGGTGAGAAAAGCAAGGCACCTCTTCCTCCCACCACTCTCAGTACTACTAGGTACTTCGTAACATATGTATGGCAGAGTACCTCAGACAACGCTCGCCTTCACCTAAGCTCGAGCTCACAAGTAAATCTTCCAGAGTGTACACAATCCAGGGCAACTGCATGACTCCTTCTCTTTCGGCGTACATATTGCGCCATGTCTTGTGTTCAGAGATTGAACTTCAGGCTTCATTACGCGGGAAACACCGCCATTATAAAAATCGATGCTACATTCCCGACAAGAACTCACGCAAGCCGCATATAGGCGGTTTTCACCAAGACTGGCCCAGTTGGATATACGAATGGGAAGGAGCATCGTCGAATATTGATTGACATGCGGTTGGTTCTAAGCGTGGTCCATGAAATGAGACAAGATAATAATAACTATCAGCCTTACATCGGTCCCGAGAGCTTGGAAGTGATGGGGCGCTAATCGCCACTTCTACCCAGCCGTTGTTACACTGAGGGCCGAATATGGGTAGGCGAATAGGCTTAAAAAAGAGAAATCTGTCCCGGCCGCGGCGGCAGTGCCGAGCAGAACGGTCTCGGCCCAGAGATCTGGGTGCGCACTTTGCTATGGTCAAGAATGGTAACCAGGGTGCCGATCAAGACAGGCCACGCTTTTGGGCGCGAACAACCCCAGGAAGTATGTACAGTACAGCAAGCAATCGGCTATCAGTCTATCTGCACTCCCCCAGGTTCCGACTCTCAGTGAGACATGGTGCAGTAGGCGCTCCTAAACATTTCACCCTTATTTTTCACATCGCCTTGTTTGCCGTCTTCGGCATGGTTAATCTGCTGCCGCAGCGGCTGGAATCTATTCAAAGAATTCATTCCGTACGCAGATAACACCGCGTGGCTATTAGCGTCTACCACCAATCAGGCTTTTTTTTTTTTTTTTTTTTTCCCTCTCACCAGCCGCTACAGTTTAGGCGCTGCAAGCAAAGCTAGATGTTCGACTGGCGTCTAACAACGGCCCGAGGAGTCAAGACTGTCAAAGAAAAAGATGGTATGCCATTGGTAACTTGGGACGAATCAGGAGTCCCGGATTTAATAGGCAGAAGGCGACTAGAACAAATCGAAAACATCGAAAACATCCCTTCTCAACTCGTTGACAAGGCGCTTTGGTTGCAATGGGCGACACTGGGTCAAGCTAGGGCCAACCATTCGGCTTCCATCCAATACGGGATGTGGGAGATGAATCTCGGGTTGTTGGGGAGTTACTCCACTCAGAAGAAAAGCAATTTGACAGCTGAATCGAGACCAGCAGGACGTTGTGTCACGGTTTGAGCGTAAGCCGCGGCTGAGCCCCGTCTGCATCCAACTGCTCTCTGGCGAGGCCTGGCCCAGCCCTTTGGATCGCTGGTCTATTCCCAAGGCTAGCTGCAGCCTTAGCTACCTCAGTAGTATGCTACAGGCTCGGAGCAATAACACGTACTAACTACCTAGTACCTGGCAAGTCAGGGACATGCATATGGCTGCAAAACTGTATGCCCGTAGGGCAGTGGATAGCCACGCTAAGATGGCATCTAATTGTTTTACAGGAAAGGGGAGTGAATGGAAAATTGGCCAATCACACATCTGTCACATATAAAACTGAGCATTACAGGACGGTACTGGCCAGAAGTTAGGCGATCGATTTCAAACTGGGCTGCAGATCACATATCACTGTGATCATGCTGCCAGATCGGGTATGATAAACATTGTAGAGGTAGACTGGTCCCTCCTGTCCTTCCTGTGCCAATGGCGTTCAAGTCATGGATGTGGGAGACCAGAAAAGCTCGCCAAGCCTGAAATGGTGTCTTTTTGCGTCAACTAGGCGAGGCGCGACACACACCCCAACTCTCCTTTTCGAGCTGTCGAAATATGGCTGAAGCAAAAGCCACACGCGCACACCCTCACGCCCCGCGCGCATCAGTTCAGCCATACACGGAGCACTAGCAGCGGTGTCGACCCATTGGTCAACTATACGGCAAAAAATTGCATTATACAGGGAATATGATAGCCACAATCCGCGGAGCATAGACGGCGCATGATGCTACTGTAGACCGTTCGGGTCTTAACCAAGGGTTCGGAAGCCTAGCCCCACCAGAGATACATCGATCGGTCTCGATCATTACTCTTTGACGCAGAGGAAAGTCAGAAGGGGAAACAAGCTTCGACTGATCTGCTCGCTAGGCTTAAAAAAAATTACATCTTACCAGCTGAAGACCCTAGCTCGTTGGCCTAGTCCGTCTTTGCCGCAAAGATCTGGACTGCAGCCATCCTTCGCACAAGCTACGAAAGGCCAATGCTGGCTTTGCAATTTCTTGGTGCCATGTTACACGGCCACTGCTTTTCAAAGAAAAATAAAACGACCCCCTTATGACTTGTTTTTCTAGGCATAAAGTGCTACTGGAATTGCCAAAGATTTTTTTCCTCCCCTAAAAAAAGCCCCCCCCCCTCAGGTAAAAGCCAACCGTTACCCCAATATGAGACAGTGGTGTGTTTGAAAGGATGTAGCTAAAATATGCAGAGAGGCGCTCCAGCAACACTGTGGATCAGACCTAATCGTTGGCTGCGGGAGGCTTGTCCAGACATTGCTGCGAGATATAGTAGGATCAATGAGGAGTCGAGAATTCGCCCAGTCTCTTTTGGCTCGAAGCAATGAACAAATCGATCAATCAGCCTCAGCCTGAAAGAAGCCTTGGGAAGAAGCGAGAAATGCGGTTTTACTCCACTTGACCAAAAGCAAGACGTGACCTTGATCATGTGAGCAGAGATAGGGACCGCAGGCCGAACTCGGTTTGTCCTCAAGTCATTCTGCATCTGCATGAACTGACCGGAGCAAATAGAGACATCCAGATTGAATGGAGCAGTGTACGAGTAAGTGTCATGGGCTGGGCTGTTCCAACCGTAGCACTCCCCGCCAGGACTAAAAGTGGCGTGAGGCTGCAGATGGCCCCAAACGGGCACCACAACGCGGACATTATACTGTGTTGGATGTTCGGCAAGAAACGCAGAGCTCGCGTGGATCACCTGGACCAAGATACGAGCAACGATGTACTATCTCGTTCTCTCAATCTTACTTGGATGGGTTTCATACCAACCGATTCACACGGCGGATGGGTGGGAGGGAAATGCGGGGTCACCGCTGCGGAACGGCTACTTATCAATTCGTGCACGATTTTCGCACTTTGGGCCCTTGGCCATTCGGGCATCAACATGCTAGTAAACCTTTGGGCTTTCACAATATGGCTGGCGCAGACAGAAATGCTTGTATATATTCGCTACGAATTACAACATGCACGGTCTTCGTCTTGTTGAGCCAAGCAACAGCCACGCCGGGCATCTGATTTGGTATCCCACCTGCAGTACGGCTGGTCCGAGACTTCAACAAATCGGGCTATGGGTGGGGGGGTGCTCTGTCGAGGCCTCTAGGGGCGTGAGCATTGGAAAATCAACCAAAATCCCCGCAGCCGGACGGGGAGATTAGTGCAGTCTTGGGGCCCGCGCGGCCACGTGGATGGATCCGCAATCCCTGTCTCCTAAGCTCTCGATCGAGACTTGCCAGTGTCGCTCATTGCCTTGTTGAGCAACTGCGATACGCCATCAATCTTTTCAAGTGCCTGGCTGATCGGGACAGCCCAGAGCGCTAAGAGACAGCTTCACAAGCTGCCAAGATTCGCTGCGGCACGACCCTCATCTAAGTTTGTTTTCTGTCTTATTCTTTTCTTTTTCTTCTCTTTTATAACCGAAGAGTAGTAGCCCCGGTTCGGTTGTACCTGTGCAACCCACAGCTCGCGCTCCTATGTGCGGTGTTCCGGCGCATGCCCCTCGGAGATGACAGATTCTCGTGGGTCGCGATTAAATGCACTTATTACTCCTGCGGAGTATTTCGCACACTCACCGTCGCATAATCTTGCGTTATGGTATCCCTACATAAATGAAATAGCATCAACTGCATCCATTGCATGTTCTCGAATCTGCTCAGCTTTGAACTGCAAGCCTCCGGAGATTTTAACGAGCACCACCACCCAATGATATGCTGCAATTACCTAGCTCTGCAGAGTGGATAGTGGCGCAAGGTGTTCGGACACTCTGCTTTTAGCCCCATTAAGTTTCAAGATATCCTTCTGGATAAAGATGCAGCGCAGGAGGATGGAGCATGGGGAGCGTTGTCAAAACGAGCTAGTCGAAGAGATACAACTCGCATCCTAGCCAGTCAAATCGCTTCCCGAGGATTTTTAGGCTCCCACATGGCAAAGGGTCATAGCGTGCACGATAGATGGCGCGAGGAGACTAAGAGAAAAAGCACAGAAGAAAAAAAAAGAAAAAGAAGGGAGTCAGGGAGATAGGTAGAGAGATAGAGACCGAGACCGAGAGAGAAGGCCCCGCATACGGCTAGCCTACGCCAAATAACGGAGCCATCTCCTTTTTTTGATTTGAGCTGTGTCTCTCCTGCAGGATGAGAAGGCGGCTTACACGGGACGGCAGACTTGGGGTTACTTCAGACGCCAATACGCCTCTGCCGCAGGCAGCCGCGCAGACATCTGACCAAAATCAGCATCACGGTACATGGGCAGAGCGTGCACCAACCACCCACCCAGCGGCTACTTCATATAATGGGTGGGCAGCGTCGTTGATTTGGCGAGGAGCCTGAAGCGGCAGTGCCCGCCTAACCGCTTTAGTTTGGGCTGACGAACCTCTTCCATTGGCCCATGCCGAAGAGCGTGCCATTCCACGTGTGCCTGATATTGCCCTGGCGCTTCTTCCGGCTTGGCTGGTTCCCCGATGCTACTGCACAACCGCCACACAGGCCCTTGCCCTTACGAGCACAAGCAGGCCCGGGATCTCCTGAGTGTGGGGATATGCCTCATGCACCATGTTGCAAACAGTACGAGTGTGGTGGTGGTGCACCTGCCTGGGCGTTTGGCTCGGCGACTCTAGTTGGATGCCGGGTAGAGGCGATTTTGACTGACCGACCGTCCTGCCGGAACAGTCTTATCCTCGAGCAGGGGTATGTTATTCACAGAACCGTATCTCTCCAACTCATGACAACGCCCCTCTCCCCCCCCTTTCCCTTCTCCTCTGCTTTTGTCGTTGCCGGGGCGGAGGTGTTCCGTCGGACGGTACGGGTATCATCAGGCAGTGCAGCGGGGGAATGCCTCTGAAGCATGTCAGACAGCAGCTTGCAGCCAAGACAGCATGTAACCCTTTTGGAAGCCGAGTTCCGCTGCTTGTATCGGCTAGAAAATTCAGTTTGTTTATCATATTAGAAGAAGAAAGAATAAACAAGCGTCGCAGTGGCTCTCGCCGTCTATAAGTGGACTCCGACAATGCGAACAGCTACTCATACATATGCAGGAGCGCGGGCAATGACGGCTCAACCACTGCACAAGCAATCACTGCAAAAACCTGTATCAACGAATCCATAAGCCTGAAGAATGACACATAGCCGAGAAGCGAGTGATGCTGTGGTTATGTTGCCCCACGAGGCATATCAAATGCGTCAAGATACGGCATTCCGGCATAATTTAGCTTCAGAATACCGACGGCCGTTCGGGACTTCGGGTGCAGGGTATGAGATTGCACGATTCTTGTTTTCGCCTCGCACGGAACCTTGCATAGGACATCATCACGTTACAGTGCTCCGTACGACTTAGAAATAAGAGAAGATCTGCGGCATGCATGTTACAGAGGAATCGTGGCTGGGTTCAACAAGCTTGGCGGGTGAAGTGCTGACAGTTCTTCAGGTTGCACCGCGCTGAACATAATTCCAATTCATCCGATCGCCAGACATCATTGGGCACGCTGTGAAATGCCTCCTAGCGCCGCAGTAGCACAAGTCAGCCTCATCCCACGGGCAGCTCTTTGAGCCTGGCACTATATGACCTAGTCTTGCCCGTCAGCTTCGCACCCGAAGGTCGTTCCGTAGACGTCGTCACACACAACCCGAGGCTTCTGTGTGCCCCTCCTGTCCAAGGTATCGGATCAGTTCACAAGAAGGCAATGGAAATTAAGAGAACAGATGTCGTCATAACCTCTCATCCCCCGTCGTACTGCCCCCGTACCTTGTCTTCCTGTAGTATGCGAGATTTCCAAAGGTGACGATGCTATGGCATGCTGAATTTTTAGTTTCTACAAAGTGCACGACACTAGCAAATCGACTTCTACAGTAACAAAGCAGATAGCAGAGAAAGAGGGTCCCGCAGAAGGAGCCATGTCAACCGGGCGCCAGAACCCCATCTCAAATGCGGTGCCTGCACATGTCTGCCATACTTGGCGCGGGCGCGCATGACATACAAGCAGGTCCTTATGTTTGCCTTGTAGTGCCGGCTTACCCTCTCTTTCCGCTCGTTGTTCTCGTTAAGAGTTGGACGTATTGTAGGGACATATCGTAGGTCTTGTCGTGGTGCTGGCGGTGCTGGCGGTGCTGGCGGTGCTTGGTTTTGCCAATCTTGTAATGCAGGCAGCACGCACATGTATGTTATACTGTCGGTCTCACAGATTCGCAGGGCGAACGCGGTCGCGGTCGGACGAACTTTTTCGTGCCGTTACGCAGCATATCGAGAGGCGATCGCGAATTGAATATACCGCGCGCTTTCACACACGCCTACGTACGATCGCAATGGGTTCCTGACCATGCGGAGGGCGAGCTGAAGGATAATTTGTCAAAGACAGCTCCCACACCCTCCAACAGCACAGACTGTCTCAAATCATATGGTGGCACGAAGCATTGTAAAGAAGGTAGTGTGGTTTTACAAGACAAGGAAACTAATGACTCTCTCTCTCTCTCTCTCTAAAAAAGGCTAACCATCGCAAGGTGAGAGGGAGGTGTGCTAAGACATTGCGGGAGATGTAAGTTCACTAGAGCATAAAGGTGTGAGACATGTTCATTTCCATGGCCATGGAATTCGAAGGTGCTACAACCTACTCAAGTACTACACACACTCTTCATACAAGGTTACGGAGTAGGTACTCGTAGCTCTGCTACCTACGCAGTATTTCCTCAGCTCTCAACAGGGCCGATCGATCTGAGCACGCGCAGTGGATGTGGATGCCGAGGCTCCCGTTGTTTCCCTCACAAAGGGCTTGTTTTGTATGGAATGCTAAAGTTGGTTGTCTATGACGTTGATTAATTGTGGTATTTGACTTGAAGTTGCCCTCTAAAAACCCCTCTTCCCCTCCCTCTTTTCCAACACCGAGAGCCGAGCTCCTCTTTCTCACGCTATAAGCTTACTCAAGACGCAGCGCGTTTGAAATCTCGAGCGTCATTTTCCCGTTCTCATGTTTCACCACCCTCACGCTCTCGAGATCCTTTACCACCCAGTCAGGCTCGGCCCCCACGACCTGTTCCACAGTGTGGCTCGTTACCAGTCCCAGGACCTTGCACCCGGCAGCCTTGCCAGCCCTGATGCCGGCCGGGCTATCTTCAAGGACAAGAACCTCCCCGGCCTTGTCCTGCAGCGCGAGCTTCTCCAGGCCAATGCGGTAGCACGTCGGATCGGGCTTGCCGTTCTCGACGGCCTCGGCAGAAATCAGATGCTCAGGGGTGCTGAGTGACAGCTTCTTGAGCCAGCCTCGGACGAGGGGCTGGGTGCCTGAAGTTACAATGGCCCAGGGAAAGGAATGGGAGATGATGGAAGAGAGGAGCGAGCGAGCGCCGGGGATCTCGACGGCGTCGTCGGCGTATCTCTTTGGGAGCTCGGCCTCCATCTTTGTGACGTCTGTGGGCAAATGTTAGAAGATTTTTCGTACTGATTAGTTACAGAGCCCTCTCTTGTCAGATGAAGTAGGTTTCTACTCGCTTGAAGAATATCACCCAAGAAACAAGTTGGTAACGTCAAGACCAACGACCCCCGGGAAAACGTGTGTCACGTAATACTTGCGGCATTATCCACTTGGAGAATGGCTGACAAGTAAGCTGACCATTAAAAAAAAAAAAAGCAACTCACACTCCCAGTTGGCCTTTTCAGGTGCAAGAATCTTTAAAATGTCTATACTCCGGCGACCATGGGAAGTCTCCAAGATGACTTCAGGGGCGACACCAATTTCCTCACCGACTCTTTATCAATGTCTCAGCAAAATTCTCATCTTATCTGTGCAGAGTGACTTGCGATTTGGGATGAAAGGGTAATAATTACGCATTCCAGTGTTTGACAATTGCTGGGGTAGAGTCGATGATAGTTCCATCCATGTCAAACAGAAAGCCCGAAAATGACACCTCCTGGCTCGGGAGGCTGTAATCCGGCTGAGATCCCATCTTGTCGTTCTAGTGGCGGACCTGATGCAGAAAAAAGGCTTCTGAAATGGCGAACACAGTGTACGATGCTATTCGTAAGTCACAACGATGGGGGTTGATGAGCCTGAGCGTAGTTGGCCAGGGTCTTGGGCTACAGATATGAGGAGGTCTTATATAAACAGATCGCGAAAGCTTATTTAAAAGGAAGTCGGATCTTATTAGAATGTCTAGATTGTAGCCCCCACGTGGCAATTCCGCACTTGCGGGGCTTCCTCTCAGAGTTAGACTGGCTGTTAGAGATTTTGACCCGCAGCAAAACTCGTTGCTGGCAACGCCAGTGGATTGAAGTTTTCAATGACTCCTCCTGGGATGGTGGCAACTACGATTTTGCGAGTTCCGCCAGAACTTGATCAGATTTTGCGGAGTAACCCGAAACTGAAAGGCCAATGGCTTCTTGTTTATTCACTCCCATATCGACAACACTCAGCGGTCAAAATCTCTCACAAGAAGAGTTTAAATCAAGTTGGTTTCGTAGCATCAGGCAAGCGTTTCCGCAGCCGAGGACTTGAAGTATTTCTCTACGGCACCGATGGCATCGTAATTGTAGCACCAATCTCTTGTCCCCTTGTCCGTGATGCCACCTGGTCCAAGCCGTTGACCTGTTGATTTACATCTTTGAACGAAGTTGCCTCCACCAGTATCAATTTCTAGCGGCCAGATCTCATCCCTGTGCGAATGGCCAAGAGCTTCATAGAGAACTCCACGCTCTTCTTTACTCGAAGTATGTAACGAGTCACCCCCATGCAAACTGGCCTCTTGCACAGCTTCAGCCCTCGGCTTCCTCACCGTCTCGAAAGCGTGCAGTGCATGTTTTAATCCCCGCCCATCTGCTTCGCTGGAGAGAGAAAAGCTGGATCCAGGAGGACAAGCAAGGTCCAGGGCGGCTGCAAGGGCGGCTGCGTCCTCGACGGCGATGCTGACGCCCATGGACATGTAAAAGGCCATGGCGTGAGCGGCGTCGCCCATGAGGACGAAGCGGCCGGATTCGTGAGCCCAGGAAGGCAATGGCGGCACGGCATATACAGGGTAATTGGCAATCTTGGGCGTAGAAAGGTCTAATATGCGTTGAACACTGCCGAATATTCTGTTAGTGTTGGAAACAAACACAAGGAATTGGAAAAGAAAAAGAAATCATACCGGGGCTCGAAGTCTTTGAATAAGTCTCGGACTATCTCTTTGCATTCATTTGAGGTAAGATCCTTGGTGTTGACATCATCCCGGTGGGTAAGAACGATATTGAGCAGAGTGGCATCTTTGATCAAGTATGTCATGCACGATATCTGTGGAGCAACCCAAAAGTTGGAGCTGCGAGACTGGAGATCTACTAGACTTGAAGTCGTTGGATCAGCTTTGAGCTTTGAGACTTCGGTTGTCATGCGAAAAGCGGCCCATCCAGTAGGCAGACTTCCAGGATTCTTATTCCCCAAAAGCTGGGATCGGGCGAGGGAGTTGATTCCTGAATTAGCCATAAAGGTTAGTCTGTTATACCGAGCTCCTTGGTTTTGGCATGGTGGAAATGGCAACCATTTTCGACAATTACACGCACCATCGGCAGCAACAACAAGATCGGCTGTTAGCCTTTTGCCATTTAGCAGCTGGACCGCACCATTGGCGAAATCATACTCGACGACGTTGCTGTCTAGGAGCAGCTGTCCGCCGGCTTTGATGGCGTGGCGATGCAGGATGTTGTGTAAAACGGCCCGATGAACAACAATGTACGGGGCACCGTACTGAGATTCCATTTCTCTGATTCGAACATGTCCCAAGAGATTGCCGCTACTTCCATCCCATACATGCAGATTTTCGGGAATAATAGACTCCGCCAGTAGATCTTCTTTGAGGCCCCATTGGAATAAATACCGTAGAGCTTGTGGCGTCATTTGAACGCCCGCACCCAGCTCGGCAAGCTGAGGGGCAGCATCGAGAATTGTGACTTGGTGGCCTGACTGGCCGAGGGCAATGGCAAGCGAGAGGCCCGCGATCCCTGCTCCGACGACTATAATGTTCATGTCTAACAACGGGTGTGACTGATCAGAGATGGCATCAAGAAAGGCGTATTTACTGTACGTTGCATGCTACCTATACAAGAGCACCGCCAAAGGTCAGCATTTTGCTTATCCTCGGTATGAATACGCACACTCCCTTTCTTACTCCCTCTTTTTAATCATTACTCACAAGTGGATTAAGATACGGCTACTGCCTTCCAGCTCACCCGGCCCTAATAATAGTAGTCTGATGAGCGGCACGATATGGTGAGAAATGATGTGGGCATAGCAAAGAACATGAAGCCAAGACCGAAGTTTGGATTAGCTCCAACCCCGCGGAAGACTGCCGGGGGGACGGGGAGGGAGGGGACTTTTTCATGCCGTGTCTCTTTTTCCAGGCTTATGCTCGAAGAAGAAGGACGAGGGATACGGGGAACTGTGACGAGAAGATAACGCGGAGCTCGGTTGGGTCAGCACAATGTCAGACTGGTTTGTTTATTCGATTGGCTGATTGGTGCGGGTGGTGAATATATGTGTACATGCATCCATGTAGGTTATGTACATGTAGGTAGGTAATATTGACTTGTATAGTCTGGTGCATCTGGGATGTCGTATAGCAAACAGTCAGTCCTTGGATCTGCCCTGAGCCATGCTTACTGAGTAACTCGGTAATCATACGAGAGGGTGTGCTTTTGTTTTTGTGATGGCTTGCTTGTCATGCTGTCGAGGAGGGCATTTTACAGGCAAGACTGTGTTGCGCCTGTGCTTGTTTGCCACCTCGTGTAAACCCCGCCAAGTACAGCAATCAGCAAAAGTCAAGCCTACATGTATACTCTGCGTATGCTCTGCACATGTCGTGTATTACGACTTTTTCCAACAGTTTCGAAATGAAATGCTTTTACCCGCATATTACTACCGAGTAGTAGTTCTTATACTACTTCCGTAATAGGCACGTAAATGTCTACATACAAGCCCCTTCTCGGTTAGCAATCCAAGATGCAAGCTGTATCCGGCGTCTATAGCGGGCGCTAAAAGGCTACCTAGTAGGCAATACTCGGCAAATACCTTAGTACTACTTACATATACTGTACCGGCTTGCACGCACTGCAGAGCTCCGCAATGTATTGCATACCTACATGTGTAATACGTGTACCTACCTACATTGTAGTACTACTAAATCTTACAGAAGGCGCCTCTGCCACCGTGCTAATACAGCGTGAAAGAAGCATCTGCCGCAGCAGGCTTGCATACACATCGATGGATGGATGCAATACCAACACAGTCCCCAGCTCTTGGCGGCAACGCTCCCTTAGTGCGCTCTAGCTGTCCATCCCCCGCACCTTGGAAGGGCTGCGGGTTATTAATGGCGTGCCGACATGTACATACATGTACCGACAGCGCCAACAGCCCGCCACACGAGCAGCAGCCAGATAGGCGTGCTGTCTGTCGCATTAGCAACTGTCGAGACTGGATATCAAGGCCCGAGTGCTGTGCCTGTGTTGCGTCGCACCGGCTAATGCCCTGTACCTGATCTATAGATAAGCAGTGCGTATCTACCTCGGCGGGTTCCGAGCGAATGCCTCCTTCTGGGCGAGCCTCTGCCCTATTCGCTGAGGCGTTGACCTAAGCCGTGCCCGTGGCTTGTTGGCTAAGGATATTAAGGCAATCTCGAATCCTCTCCCACGGTGACGTTGCTCACCACCTTTGCATCATTTCCTGGCCTGCGCGCATCTTGGCTGCTGGTGAGCATACGCTGCCAGTTCTTGGGCCGCGGAACAAGCATCTGCGCTTCTTCTTGGTGATATACCTGCCTACCTTGTATGTAATATATACTACTACATCTATATCATATCATGGGTTCCCAAGTGCAGGACGAGTTCACAGTGCTGGTCACTGGATTCCAGGTTTGTGTAACCGACCGTAGCGACTTCTCCTCATTGCACATTCCGGATGATGCTGACGGTGCTGCTCCCAGCCTTTCCGGGCTGAATATCCCGTCAACCCGTCGTGGGAAATCGCAAAGTCTCTGCCGGAATACCTCCCGGCGCTGAGGGCAAAGGACCCCAACTCACGATATGCCGTCAACACGCCGCCCGTCCGCATTGTGGTGCATCCCGAGCCCATCCGAGTCAGCTACAAGTCGGTCAGAGAGCTGGTGCCGTCCTTTTGGGAGGAGACGTATGCCGGCCGCAAGATTGATCTCGTCATCCACATCGGCATGGCGGGGCCGCGGCCCATGTATCAGATTGAGAGCCGTGGACATCGCACAGGGTACAAGAGCCTCGACGTCGATGGCCGGCACCTCGACGCACTGGAGGGCGAGCGAGGCGAGGACTGGATCTGGCACGGTCTGCCGGATACGCTGAGGACCGACTTGAACTTGCAAGACATTTGGGAGCGGTGGCAGCAGCACAGCTCGGTAACATCACCCCATCCTTTGATACCATGCCTTGTCTTGTTGTCAATATCGGCACTAACACGAAACTGGACGTGTGCATGTTATATAGATTGATGCGGATCTCCGGATCTCAGATGACGCTGGTCGCTATCTCTGCGACTTCATCTACTACTCAAGTCTGGCAACCTGCTATAAACAAAACAAGCCGAGGAAAGTCTTGTTTTTCCACGTGCCTGCGGATCCTGCTCAAGGGATGCTCAAGCAAGGACAAGAGTTGGCCGTCAATCTCATCCGAGCCATAGTGGAGAGTGAGGTGGCGGCCCGTGATCAGGACGCGGCGTAGGTAGCACTTATTTCTGGTTTGGGCAATTAGTAGTGCTTTCTGACTATGGTATAATGGCGTTGAGGGCTTGTCTTGTTGAAACAGCAAAGATGAACGCCCTTGGCTGAATATGGGCACAAGGAAAGACAAGAGAAGAGAAGGATATATTCGGATTATGGCGACTTTGGCTGGAGACGGGCTTGAGCGAGGTATCCTGTGAGAAAGAGACCAAGTGTTAAAGGGCCGCCGCGGTACTCCATAGGAAGCGACATTTGATTCTGCTATTTGCAAGATGTTGATTGAAATTAATGCAATTCGCATTTTCATCATACGATTTGATGTATTTGCCAAGAGTAGACGCCGACGCTCATCACAAATGGTCGCCGTCTGGTCGGACTCCGGAAGCCAGACTCAAGTACCCAAGTACCTTGTATCTTGTATCCTCGCCGCCGGGCGGGGCTTTTCGCCGATTTGGTCAGCCTTTCTCGGCCGGCGACTAGGAGCGCTGTCGGCCACCGCGGGTTTAAAACTGCTCTTATTTATACCTACTTGTCTGTTTCTCTTTCTTGCTACAGATCATCAATCCCTAGACTCTCTGATGAGCGTTTTATAGAGGCCATCTACTCTTTTCTCATTTCTCTCAATTTTTTTTTTCAAAACCGTTTCACTCTTCAAACAAACAAGTAAAAAGCTCTGCCATCATGTGTCGAAAGGCCGTTTGCAGCACTTGCAGTAAGCACGCACGCACTCACTCTTATCATCCCTCGTCTCACTTTTTTTCCCACCACAACTTCTCCCCCCCAACTTTCCTCATACAAGGACCGGGAAAAAAAAATAATAATGTGACAATGGATTTTCATACTCACCAATCTCTAGACAAAGCAACTTGGTGGGGTTGCGGCAGCCACATCCCGGGTGTGCTGGACTCGATCCCCGAGGAGGACCGATGCGTTTGTGAGCCCAAGGTTGAGCGCGACGGCAAGCAGTATCCCCCCATGGCCAAGTCTCCCAACTGACTCGTTGGATGGCTTGCGGGTGCGGTGTTGCGGCTGAGGGGGAAGAAACCAGGGTGGTCGGCGGAAGGGGTCGTTGAGGAGGATTTGGATGGCGTTGGGCGCGGGCATGAAGGTGGGAGTAAGTAAGAAGGAGTTGTTGGCGGCGACGATAGTTGTTTTTTTTTTCCGGGTATCAGATGCTAGTATGAAATAAAGGACTTGATCGAATTTCAAAAGTAAAGAAAGAAAGTCATCGAGATGAAAATGATGTGCTTTAGACGCATGCCTCTGCGAGGATATCAAAAGCTGACACAGCTAAACGTTGCTACATACGCCCGGATTGTATCCAAAGAAAATCCACAAGTAAACCAAATATCTAACCTTCTTGGACATAACTTCTCTAATGTAGCTCTCGAGCAGAGAAGCTAATGCCTCATCTCCTCCTCGCACCTCCAGCAGCGCCGCCGTCTCCCCTCTCCGCCAGACTGACCACCTCCTGAATGCCTGCCGCCTCTTGCTCCTCTTCCAACGCTGTAATCTCCTCACGGCAATCCCACCACTTCTCCTCGGACAGTTCAAACGCCTTGGCCTTGATCTCCTTAATGGCAAGCGTTTCTGGCTGGATGTTCTTCCAGCGGAGGTTGGTCATGAGGATCTCCTGCCACTCTGCCGACGTGCGGACGAAGAACTCGCGGCGAGATTCAAACGGCTAAGGAGATGATACAGTTAGAGATACAAGTTGCAGAAAATATATACGAAAGAAAAATGGGGTAGCAAAATAAAAGAGGGGGAGGGAATTACTCTTGGATGGGGCAAGCCATCATCAACCGATGTGGCGGTCGTTTCAGTCTCTTCTTCTTCCGATGTAATCGATGGTGCAGGTGCCTCAGAAGAGATCTCCGATACTTCATCTTGCTTCTTCTTACGCTTGCTTGCTGTATGAAGCTGCTGATAGGGTTCGTCCTGTTCATCCTCTTCCTCGTCTTCCTCATCTTCATCTTCCTCATCATCCTCTTCATCTTCATCATCCTCGTCCTCAGACTCCTGATTTGCCTTGGTCAGCACGTCATTCAGTTTTACACATAGTAGCATCTCTCTATCACTTACAATCCAGTCTTCCACGGGCTTGTTGAAGATTTCCTTGTATCCGTCCAGCTTCACGAGGTCAATGGCGTAGAGATCGTCAAATGTGAACTCTCGATCCCCCTTTTCGAAAGTACCGCCGTAGATGTAGAGCACGTCGTTCTGGACCGTCAGCTGAGCGTTGAAGCGCATATGCGGCGGCTCCATAGAAACAGGCATTTCTCTAGCGGGCTTCTCCTCCTCCTCCGGCTCCTCAAGCATCTTTTCCAACTCGATATCATCGGCATCCTCTAGGGAAGTCCCAGCTTGGAGCGCCGCCAGCTGTCGCAGGAGCTCCTCTTCATTCGCTTGAGCCCGGCCACGTCTACCGACTCGTTGTTCTGGCGCGTTCTTCTTCTGCTGGCGTGGCTTTCGTGCAGCGAGAGGCATGAATCTGTTTCTCTCGATATTCCACGCAAACAGCTGGTTGAAAAACTCGCTGTCCATTCCCTCCTCGCTCTGCTCGACGTCGTGAACGCCGCCGAAAAGAATACCACGACCCTTGTGGAATGCCATGGTCGCTCCGGCACGAGAAGGTGTAGGCGCATTAGCTGGCTTCTTTCGCTTCTCCCATCTGACTGTAGGGGGTGCATTTGCGTTTCCTTCCGCTGGGGGAAGAGACATTCTGAGGAAGTAGCAATCTTCATGAACCTTGGGGAGGAGGACGTTTTTCTGCCCCTGTGGTTGGCTTCCTTTCTTTTGCTTCTTGAGCTGTACCGTTGCCTTGACTCTCGAGTAGCCTCCGCAGAGGACAGCACCTTGCTCAGAAGGCAATAAAGTAAATGAAGACCGGGCATCGGGTTTGAGCTGAGCAGGCGGAAGAACGGGGCTATGCCAGACGTAGTTGACGGTATCGAATATCCACAGGTCCGCGAGGTATTTTGTCTGGTTAGATGTGTCCTGGAAGCCTCCAAAAAGGATAATATACTGCTTCCAGTAAGTCATCCGGTGTCCGCTTCGCGCTGGCGGGCTCTTATCCTTGCCCTTGACCTCGATTTTGGTCCATTCCCTTGTGGCGGGCTCCAGCCTCCAAAAGTCCGAGTAGTGATGGAAAGTACCCTGCTTTGGAGATGAAAATTCGCCTCCAAATAAGTACACGTAGTTTGGATTCGACGATCTCGTCCAGGCATGGCCAGATCGCGGGAGAGGTGCGTTGGGAGATGTCACGCAGCGCCACTCGTCTCGGTTGATGTTGTATACGTGCAGGTCGTTGAAGAACTGCGCAACGGAGCCGTTGAAGTACTCTCCTCCAAACAAAAGCAGGCTGTTGTTTTCATGAGGAGAAGCTAGAATGGTAGATGCTGATCGAGGCTTCGGCGGCCCGTCAATAACCGTCTCTGTGATCTTCAAGAATTGCTCCTGTTGGCGGCGGTACTCTTCCAGCACCGCATCCAGGTCGACATCCTCAGCATCACTGCCCTCAAGCTTGGCAGTCTTGTTTTTGATCTTTTTCTCCCCCTTGCTGGCCTGCTTGGCAGCTTTCTCAGCCTACATGAAAGGTCTGGTCAATAATTGAACAGAGTATTTCATGGAGGGGCACTTGGAGGGGTAGTGATGGATAGAGATTTTCTAGATTGATAACTACCTTCTTCGCCTTCTTGGCTTCCGAGCCCTTCTTTTTATCCTTGGCCATGGCGGGAGTATCTTATTTTTATAAATAAAACAGATGCTATAGCTCCGGCTCAAGGGAATGAAATGAAAACAGTCTTCTTCAAGCGGGTCGCGTTGATTGGTAGCGAGGTCTAAGAAAACCCTGCTACAGTACGTAAATATTTTACAGACTGTGCAACATGGTCTTGGTTGAATAACGCAACAAACAGCATTTGCCACGAGTGTCACTCTAGAATGAACTTCACAAATATTTTTCAACCGCAAAGTAGATTGAAATAAATGTTGTTGAATGTAAAATATACATAGATGCTCGGGTATAGATAAAAGTTTCTTTGCTTATACACTGATGCAAACGCTTAAAATCATGCATGCATGTTGTAGATGAAAAAGATGACGAGTTATTCCTCAGATGTTGGTGGAAGTTCTCCCGGAATATAGACGCCCATGGCCTTGCTGGCCCCCTCTACGCAGTATTGGATAACCTCAAGCTTTTGCCCCTCTGGTGCAAGTTTCGCAATCTGGCGAATGTCGCTTGTCCTTGGAAGGAACAGCAAGTGATCCATTTTCTTGTAGGCTTCGTGTAGCTGGTTCAGGCTATATGGCTGCATTGTACTCAGATCAAAGATCTCATCGGTTCTATATCCAGGCCCTCCCCAAGGGGGGCTGGCAAATACCGTAGTGGACTGCAAATCAACCCTCAGGTCTGGATGCAGCTTTTCTGGTGAATTAACAAGCTGATTAACATAGTCAAAGCTGTCGCCAAGGACCCAAGTGACTACACCTGGATCGACGCCGTACAGCTCAGCGTTATGCTGGGCGCAAGCAAGCGTAGCAGGGTCACGCTCGATAGAAATTATTCGTTCCCATCGCTCGGATAAAGCGAATGCAATTGTATTGCCACCAGCGCCACCAAAGGCATCAATCAAGGTGGTTTTCTTTGGATCATAGTGGTCCTCAGATAATTCATACGCAATTTGGCTGAAGAAACTTAGCGAGGGCTAAGAGAGAAGAAAACTCATTGGACACTCACTTTGCTACCGGCTCGGGTGTGACGCCAAACCATGCATCATCTGTCATGTAAACTCCGCCATCATAAAATGAAAAGATGGAGTATCTTTGACTGAAGTATCTAGTAGACGAATTAGCGTCCTGAGTAGAGGCAAGCTTTTTGGTAACAAAGAACAAACTTTTGGAGGTCCCAGGGGACTTCGTGCTGGCCTGTGTAGTGATGACATTTATCTGTCAGAGGAAGCCTTTCTGTCGGCTTTAATGAGAAGTCGGAAGGCTCCACGGCATCGATGGCGCCCAGGCCAGCCATATTGAGGTCCAGTGCTGCTTGGCTCTCTTCTGCTAATAATTTTGTCAGGCAGGTCACATCCTCCCTTGCCTGGGGATTCTTCTCGAGGACTCTTCTGATGATCTCCCATGCAGCTTGGGGAATCTGACTGGCCTGCGGCAAGAATAGCTGTGCAGTTGGTGCATCGATGAAAGGACCAAGGGTATCTCGCGCAAGTTGTAGCTCTATGGAGTTTACCGGTTCAATTTCAGTTGAAGTCATTTTGCGTTCCAAGAATGTATCTAAAATCCACAATCCGTGTCGAAAATGAATGAAATAATAGAATGAATTAGATAGTAAGAGCTGATGAAATCTGAAGTAAGGCGCGTGAACAAAACTTCGCAGGTCGCGCGTGCGCCGAAGCTGGTTATTATGTCCTGAATCTCGACACTTGTTGAGTATTTAATTGACTAAGAATTAAAATTAGACAAGTCTGAAGGCATAAGATAGCTTTTTTGATGTTGACGATGGAAATATGTAGGACGACAGGTGAATTTCAAGACAAGGCTGAGAATGTGGTAAGAATGTTAGTGCACTCGGGTCCACCTCTATTCCGCTTTTTAAGCCACTAGCGCCTTGGCACTTATGCAAGGCTGTCGTCTCAAGGGACAGCTTGCGGCAAGCTCATTCTTGGTGAGCTTAGACGTCACTCTTCTTTTTCAATAAACTCACAGCATCGGATTCCCAGCTATTCCTCTCTCACATCACAGCTACGCTGCTTCATCCACCAGTGATACTTGCATTCTAGCTTCGCATAGCGGCGGGGGACATTCCGGCGATCATGTTTAACGCACTTAACCGGTTCATGTCCCGCCTGGATGGCGATGCCCCGCAACATCAGCACGATCGCGACTCGTTTGGCTTTCAGGTGCTGCGGAACACGAATCTTGAGCTACCAATTGAGCCCTGGTTTGATTATATCGTTGGAATTAACGGGAGGCCAATTGTACGTACCAACGCCCTTTGTGATTGGTGGGCGACCTGGTGCTGATTGGTGCAGGATAATCCCGACCCAAGCTTGTTCGCCCAGGAAGTACAAAACTGCGCCGGCGGAACTGTGACTTTTGGACTATGGAGCGCAAAGGTAAATATTACTTTTTGAAGATTAAATGCTAAGAGAGAAGAGAGCGACGAACTCTGATGCTATTCAAATAGGGCCAACGCACAAGAGAAATGCACATTCCCGTGCCCGTGGATACCGCATCACTAGGACTCTCTCTTCAGTTCGCGCCCATCTCGCTCGCAGCCAACATTTGGCATGTGCTTGATGTGCCAGCTAACTCACCAGCCGATGTTGCTGGACTGTTACCTTACAGCGATTACATCCTCGGCAGTCCCGAAGGCGCATTACATGGTGAAAGTGCCCTTGGCGAGCTTGTCGAAGACTTCATCGGGCGGCCACTCCGATTATACGTTTACAACAACGAATACAACGTCGCGCGCGAAGTCACGATACAACCTAGCCGAAGCTGGGGTGGAGATGGAGCTCTGGGGTGTGTTCTGGGCTACGGCGCGCTGCACCGCCTACCAGCTCCATTGAGTGAACCCGTCAACGCCCCCGGCGAAACGATGTTTGACGGCGAGTTTAACGAAAAGAGAGGAAACGAATACATCTCAACAGAAGCTAGCACTCCGCCGCCGCCGCCTACAGGAGGCGACTTTTTAGTACCCGCCCAGATAGTTGATTCAGCGCCTACGAGTGCGCCTCCACGGGGTGGGACGCCGCGAGGTGGAAAGAAGAAGGAGCGTCATGTTGCTAACAATAATTTTATGGATGACTACCTCAGGGAAGAAGAGCAGAAGAGTATAGCGCTAGATAATGCGCCTAAGAGCAAAGGTACAGGTTTACCACCACCTCCTAAAGGAGCTGGTGGTCCACCAAAGGCCGAGCCAAAGGGAGATGAAGCTGATAGTGGTGGAGCATAATGAGCATTCGAGTTTGTTTTGATATATTTCTGTCAATAAAAAAAGATTCCCTACTTGCTTGGCTAGGATCAGATTGCTTTTTCTTCTTTCCCTCTTGGCAACCTCTCCCGAGGATATAATTGAGAAAATCACCATGCTTTATACGGCCCATGCCATGTGCTTTATTGAAGTCGCTATTCCACCGCACATTCTCTGCATGACAGCTCTGTTCCAACCGCTACTCTAACCGCTGCTTAGTTGATGAAGTTGACACAGAAGAAATGTAGTATCAGGCTGCAGACAACGTAGTCGGCAAATGCTCTGCGCTCGCATGTTAGTACAACGACCATGACGCGCATACATATACATTTTCGCATATATGCTCTGCTTGGTGGATTGAATTGGAATATATAAGTCGTACCGTTCAGGAGATACCTCTGGGAAATCGCTCTTGTTCGCGGCCGCTGTTTGTATACGTAGCGAGACTGGCTCTTGTTAGACCTCTTTATCGACGGCTCGGTAGAAAGCGAGTATGAACACGTACTTGTCAAAACAAATTGTCCAACAGTAGCTCCGAAACCCGAAAGGAAAGCATTGAAAGGCTGCGACGAAGCATTAGCATCATGTCAGTCCTCCCAAAAAGCACATCGCTTAGCTCTCCTGCTATGCTACGTACGTAATTGCCAGCCAAGATGCAGTAGAGGAATTGCAGTGCGCCCACGACGGCGATGAAAACGAGGAACACGTCGATGAGCTTCGTTCGCTGTGGGGTTTCGTTCATGTAATACTGGTAGATGTTCTGCAGCACCTTGTCCCAATTCGCCGGGGTGTTCTTCGCCGATGTCGATGCTGGCTTAGGCTGAGCCGCAGGGACAGAGCCCGCGGTTGTGGTGTCAATTTGGGTGGTCGCAGCAGCTGAAGGGGCCGGCTGAGCCGCGTTCTTCTTGGGGGCCATGGCGGGCGGGCTGGGGCAGCTTGGAGAGGGCTGGTGGGTTTGCTTGGAGAGAAATGAAGGTCTTGGTGATATCGATATTCGACTGCTTGCAAGCACCTAGTCTGGCCAGTTGGGTACTTTGGTACAATTGCGGCCACGAAAGCTCCAAACAGGTCGGCGGGCTGTGATTGGCTCGGGATCCTGGAATCCTGGGGGCCCCACCTGCCTTCTCGTCAATCACGTCAATGCGTTTGCGGCCTCACTCGATTCCGAGCGCCGACGCCCTCGGGATATAAAGACACTCCATCTGTTCCGTCTTTGAGGATTGAATCGAGCTCGAAGCTTGAGGCTGAGAAAAAATCATTCACAACTTTTCGCAGCAAAACAGACTTCATCATGGTGAGCTATTGAGACTCAATTGCCCGGCGTAGAGCTGTCGATTCAGCGGGGCGCAAAGTCACTGACATCTCTCTACTATACTAGGCGGCTACATCTTCCCCGCTGGCGACTACGTCCTTTATTCTCGGAACCGTCACCTTCGGCGGCGGTGCCATTGGCTTTGCCAGAACTGGCTCTGTTCCCTCAATTGCCGCTGGCTCGCTGGTTGGCATCTTGTGTATGTTATTCTACCAGTCTCAGCTCGAATCACAACATGGACGTACTGACCCAGCTACGTGTCTCCTCAGATGGCGTCGGCGGATATCGCACTGCCACTAATGCCAGTTACGGCGTAGAACTTAGCTTTCTCGCCTCCGCCATCCTGGGATTTTCATCGATCCCTAGAGCAATCCGCGGCAGGAAGCCCGTTCCTATTGTGCTCAGCGTTATATCACTCTTTGGCCTCTACACCTTTGGCAATGCGCTGCGCCAGGCTTAACTTTGGGAGAGCCCTGGCGTAGCTGTGTAATAGTGGATAGGGATAGAATGTAGCTAATAAATCTCAGCAATTTGTTCATTCCCAAACTAGCGCCAAGATTATTTGAAGTGGTTTCTTTCATGCTTCGTGAAAAAAAGATCGTATATGTATATTGATAACATGCAATGGCTATTCTTCTTGCCACTAGTTTGCGTTTTTTTGTTTTCCAACGCCGGTCATGAGTAACATAATATGGCTATATAATACAAGCAAAGAGAAGCAAAGTTGATATGTATAGCAAGGAATAAAGACTTTTATAGCAAGGGTTGAGTTGAGAGAGCGATATGATGGAGAGCGCCGTGGTGTATATATCTTTTAGATACCCAACTCTCGCTGTTGTTCCTTGAGCTTATCTCGCTTTGCTCTTGCGGCGGCCCTGTTCTCGGCTTGTTTTGCGGACCGCGCCTCTCGCAGACACTTGTCTACCAGTCTCTTCTCATCGTTGCAAGCACCAGTGGCTTTGTGCATGAAGCCCTTTGCGTGGCATTCCTCAAGAGCGGCAATAATCTCTTCGCAAGCTGGATACCATTGTTAGACGAAAAGGCGGAGAAATCATTTCTTCGAGCGGCATGGATCTTACGAAGAGCGTTTAGGGTGTGCAAAGGAGGATGCATTTTTAATTGATCGTAGCGCAATCGCAGATTTCGTTTTAACGTACGTTTTGTAGTGGAGCGAATCGATTATTTCGTTGGTGGATGTTGATCTGGAGAAAAGCTTGGGCGGCTCGTCTCGCTGGGGCTTCCCACTAATAGCGATGCCAGTGCCGGGAATCAACCGGTGCTGAGGTTGCAGTGGCGCGGGATAGCCACAGAAACTCAACCTCGACATCACGCATCACTGAGATAGCGGGCCTCTCTCTTCGGGCCGCTGTATCTTTTTCTTTTCCACAGTGATAATCATGTCATCATCACAGCAGGTTCCTGCTAAGAAGCAGCAGGGTATGTGCTCATCATATGGAGATTTTCCCCCCTCGTCCTACATCTAGCCCCTCGCCTGCCTCTCTCTCTCATTTTCATTGTCCTAACGGCATTCCAGATCTCCAAACAACTTACTCCAATTTCAAAAATACGTTACAGCAAATTGCTTCAAAAATCGGCGATATTGAGCAGGAAGCTGAAGAGCACAAGTTCGTTTCCCTCTTTCACTGGCTCTCTCTTCTGTTCTTCCCCTCCCCTATTTTGGAGCTTCATGCATCGACTTTGGCCTGCCCGCTTTCAAGCCATGTCTTACATCTTCCCTGTCCATGGCCCCCATCATTAAGTCTCGCTGTAGTTCTACCTATCACCATCACACCGCTGACTCGGTTACCCTTTTAGGTTGGTTCTTGAAACCTTAGAGCCGCTTGCGGAAGATCGAAAGTGTTTCCGTTTGATCAATGGTGTGCTCGTGGAGAGAACAGTGAAGGATGTGGTGCCGGCACTCCAGACAAATCAGGAGGGGCTGAAGAAAGTCCTCGATGATTTAGTAAAGCAGTACAAGAACAAGCAGGATGAGTTGGATAAATGGAAGGTTTGTTCATTCCGTATCTTTTTCATGAGTGTCAGCAACCAGCTAATCTTTATGTGCCATGTCAACAGAAAAAGAATAACGTCCAGGTAGTGCAGCAGTGAGACACACAACAGCTTATCGCATTTAATAAAAAAACAAAGAAAGACAAGGCAACCACAGCCATATCAGTTTTCAGATTATCACTCGTGCAGTTACTAAGCAAGAGCCTAACCATCTACCAGCGCCAATGCAGAATCCATCCTCCACGGTCGACTTCGGATGTCTTCGATGCATTGCTGATTTACGACATCAACATCTTGGTTTTCGCTCCACCATTCAATCTCATTACGCATTATGATTCAGCCATACGTGGCCATGCCCCCTTGACGATGCATAAAACAACTCTTGGCGTTCAAAGGATCCTCTTAATGCCCGGCTGTTCAGCCCCTCGGAATTCATCCCTGTGCTGATGACGCCTCAGTGCCCAACGACATGCAGCCTCAACTTTGCTGCACATGAAGATTAATTGCTTCTGCATGCAAGGAATCGTGGACGCGATTCTGAGTGTCTTTTAATAATACAGCCGGCATGTGTAATTTGATGGATTCGCAATCCTGAGGAGGCCCGGATGCGCACAAATCACTTTACATTGCCAACAATCCTTCCCAACGGAAGCACCACGCCAACGCTGGCCGCGATGTATATCACACCAGCGGGTATATCCGTCACCGAAGCTATATTCCCATGGCTACCTAAAATAGTATACGCCTATTCATGCACCTTTGCTTTTGGACATTTTGTCACCAACGCACACTTGAATGCAGCCGTAGTACCCAGCATGGAAAATTTCGTTGCCAAGTGGCAGGCCACGGCGAAAGCCTTTTTCTCACGAGCATCCCGACAATGGAGTGCTGCCACTCTCCTCCACTCGCCTCATATCGATGCTTAAGAATCGTACTCCGTACACACGAAATTTTTAAAGGACGTACATATACGGAGTACATGGAGACCCATCCACAAAGTGTCAACCCAGCTGAAGAATGCAGGAGTGGGGTACTCACTTCACTGTCCATCTTTTCCCCCTCCTTCAACGGCTCGTATGTTTGCTTGTGACACCTCGTTCGACGCTGCGTCCTTGGAAGAAGCGTGAAATGGTTTCTAGAATGCTACGTCGCTTAGCCGGAGTTGGACAGAGAAGCCTTCGTGCAAATGAAAGACAGAGAAAAAGGCCGCTAGGTACTAGGTGTATGCATCGATGGGGGCTAACCAACTTGAATGTGCCTTGGGTGACCATTGAGGGCTGCTAATAGCTAGTAGCGGATACTGACATGAGGCGATTTCTGCGAACTGTAACTGTGGATGCTTCAAGTAACGGCTTACCTCGTGTGAGTATTACCGCCCATCTTGGTGCTACCACCTCCACCGACAACACTGCACCTACTGTGTACTTGCTGCCATTAGGCATTGCCCACATCTGCCATGCAACTAGATGCGCGACTCTCACTCTCTCTTTCTTTTAATAGACACATAAATATACAAAAAAAAAAAAAAAAAAAGATCCAGCCGATGGAGGATAAGAGTGCAGACGCAGGAAACTATCGATTAGGCTTAGTTTGACTGCGGCATCCAACCCCGAATAATTTCAGGTGCTAGCAGTAATATATTACGTCGAGGCGATTATTGTGTGCATCGATGGAACACATACTATTTACACGCATGTCTTCTGCTTTGTGCCCAAGCCAGTGCTGCTGGGCTTCAAGCCAACTCATCAGCCATCCATCCATCAAGCAAGCAAGCCGGCTAGCCATCAGCCATGCGCAGGGACATGGGCAGTACGAAGGGCGAAGGCTTTTTTCCTTGCTGCCCAATCAGTGGACGCATCTGTCTTTGATAGAGTAAGCTGCGATATGGCAAGGCACAGTGAGCGACCTAGGGGTATCGTTTCGAGCTGCTTCAAACGAGCGGAATGGCGTCTTTTCAGAGGTTACCACAGAATGCATGGAGCCGCCTCTGGCGGATCTGTACCTGGTTCATAATGGACCAACAGGCTGGCTGTTTGGAGCCGGAAGCGTCACCATTGGCCCAAACAGCTGCCCAATGCTCGAGTAGCTATCGAGAGCCGGGTCGTGGTTCGCGGTGTTCCGGGTCGGTCATCAGCCAACCACTGGGTAGACATTGAAATGCGGCCCAATGACTTGACAACTCGTGTTGTTGGGGGCCCAATACTCAGCCACCGGGTTCCTGAGGGAGAGGCTTGCTTTAGCGGGCGCTGGCCATGCCCTGCGAGCCATTGTCAAATGAGCATCCGCAGGAGCCCACCATCTCAGCGCCGTCGTCGTGGGCTGGCTTGCAGTCCTTTTTTGCGGCGGCGGCGACGTCACAGCCGCGAGGCTGGTCGCATCGTGGAATATTGCAGGCCGGGGTCGTTGGTACATACAAGGAGCACCGCTTTTCTTCTTGCTTGTAGCAGGGCAGGGGTAGCGGGAGTTTTATTTCTGACTTCCTATGTGTTTGTTGATATCCATTGATCTAGTTTTCTCCCGATGGAGGTAACTCAGCCATCCGAAGGAGTTGCAGGCTAATGATACCGCGGATAGCTGCTCAACACACCGCCTCTGACGACTTGGTGCAACCCTCTTTCGACGACTTGGACGAGGATCCTTAGTCCTGGGCTGCTGTTGGCCGCGAGTAGAGCTCGCATGAGGTGCCCTAAACTAGGATTATGTCAAGCTACTTGGAATAGGCGTGTCTGTGGTCTGGTGATTTGCGCATGCGACTCGTATATGTGTGGTGGGCCTGTATTCTCGAGTGAGATTCTGGCGTCAAGCACCATGCAAACACTGTTTACTGATGAGTTAGCAGGAATCCTGTTTACCGAAGGCCCATATTGCCGCGTGTAGACAAGATACCTGCGCATCTCTACGCTTTTCTCGAAGAAGAGAATAGAAAGAAATGCAGCTATCAATCCAGAGGCACTCCGTGATATCAGATGTTTACTTTGCGCCTGATGGGCGCAAAGCCTCTCTTTGCAGCTGAAGCTTCCCACAACAGCCCGTAATAAACAGTACCGCGCCGTCAAGTAGCCGAGTACGCCTAGCTCAGCTTCTGGATACATGCCCTGCTAGCACAGATCGAAGAGCTTGAGGTAGCTTGGCTTTGGGCAGTGCTGTCCTCTCAACGCAGGTGGTCACTCAGCGTGCAGTTGGGTATGGGGCGGTACCTTGGGCGATTGGTTCCCCTCATTTATCGATAAACCCGTACGGGACTGTCACTGCAGCAGCGCCCATCCAATACCTCGTCTTGGTACAGGGCTAGCTGCGCAAAGTACCACACTACCTCTCTGCCAGGTTCCCGCTGTTATTTCGGCCGACAACATCGCGCTGCTGTCGACCACTAGCCTCGTCCTTCTTTTTCCTCTTTGCACTCCACATGCAAATGCACCCACGCCAGCCGCATAGCAAACAGCTCAATACACCCTCCTGTGCGCATCCAGCAAGCCGTAAGACGCTCCCTAGACTCCCCCGGCGAGCATCTCGTCCTGACGCAGTTGGCAGACCCGGAACCCTGCGCTATTGTGTAACTTCGCCGCGCCACCGCAGTCAGTCTGTTGCCGTTTGCAGGCGCGAAGACCTCGTCTGTCCAACGCGCACTCCCCCAGTCGCCAAACCTCGTCACTGCCGCGGCGTCTGTCGTCCGGGCCGGAGACTTTGAGACCATCGAGATCCTTGGGCGTTGCGATAGCTAGAGGAGAAATCCCACGCTGAGCAGCAGCGCTTGATCCACTCACGCCCTCGTGAGAGCATTGCTGGGACATATCTGCCTTTGTTTTGTCCCCCTCTCCCAATCGACTGGAACCTCTTTGCGATTGCGGGCCCTGGTTTCCCACCCCTCCCCCTCCGGTAATTCCCCTCCAACCAGGCATATTCTCTCCCAACTGGCTTGCCAGCCCATACATACATACGCCAAGCGAGCGTCATAGCTCCAGTATCCTTCAGTCCAGGGCAGACCCAAGCCTCCCGCGACCTAGATCCCTTGTGGGCTGTGACGATTGACGCATCTTCCACTGCACACGCCCCTCTCGACGTATCGGGCAAGCATTACCTCTGCGACGTGGCCAGGGGGACACATCATCGCGAAACCTCCCGAACTGTACCAACCCGAAGATTATACAAGACGCTAGCAGCCGCTGCAGGTAGCCAAATATGTCCGACTCCCCTCAATCTCCTCCAAAGGATGTCGACCAAGGTGCACAGTCACCCGACGAAGAGCAAATGAATGATAACCAGGATCCCCACTCAGCCGGAGGGGCTGGCTACGAGTTTGAAGGTGTTAAGGAGCAAGACCGGTGGTTACCTATAGCCAATGGTATGTCTTTATCGTCCCCCCTGGACCGCCATTCTCGAATCATGATTGCTCGCCTCATGCGTTTCGATCTGTCCGTTTTTTTTCTCTCAGCCTTGCATAGCTTCCTATGTCTCATTCTTCTTTCTCCAACGTGTCGGAGGCATCGCGGGCGCTCAAGGCCGACAAATCTGATGAGCTAGATGCTAACATTCGCAATTTTGCGCCAGTTGCCCGAATTATGAAGAATGCCCTTCCTGATAATGCCAAAATTGCAAAGGAGGCAAAGGAGTGCATGCAGGAGTGTGTTAGCGAGTTTATCTCCTTCATCACTAGCGAAGGTACGTCTATACCTCTTTGGCTTTTCCCCGAGGGACTTGTTTCTACATGGAAATGCTAATATATCTTATCTCAGCATCCGAAAAATGCCAACAGGAAAAGCGCAAAACCGTCAATGGAGAGGATATTCTATTCGCCATGACTTCCCTAGGTTTCGAAAACTATGCTGAAGCTCTCAAAGTGTATCTGTCAAAGTACCGCGAAGTAAGCACCTTATTCTACCATAGTTCTTCTTGGAAGAGCATTTTTTAACAGAGCGATGTGAATCTAGCAACAAAATCAATCGAACCGAGAGCGCGTCTTGGAGAACAACAACAATAACTGGGGGAATCCCATGATCCCTGGCGAAAAAGCTGAGCCTGGCGCAGCCGGTGCCGAGTATGCCGCTCCCGAAGCAGCGAATCCCGCTGAAGGCGCTACCGACCCGAACTACATGTACGCTTCCCATGCCGGTCATAATGGAGCAGGTGCTGGCGAAGGCTACTAGAATGCCTTTGCTGGTGGGCTGAGACTGGGCTAGTTGACAGCTTAAGCCGACGGCAGTTGGTTGAGCTCCTCCTCCTATTGTCAGAGATTATATAGGCCTTGGTCTTCGAGGTGACTTCTGGATCTCGCATGACTACAGGGGCCATAGCTCTCATCTCAAAACGCGACATGTAAAAGTATCATTACGAATACTTGGCTTATCTGACTTGGAGTTTACAACATTATCGGCGTATATGAAGTCTCAAAGGACTGGGCAATAACGAGAGGAGATGAACTATACAATTCGCTACTCTCTTGTTAAAATGTATGGAATCAACTTTTTTCTTTTCTTTTCTTTCTTTTCTTTCTTTTAGTCCTTGGGCTTCAGCTACAGATGGGCGATCAGACAACTAGATTCTCCCCTCGGAGCTTCACCTGTCGACTCAGGAGCGGTCTTGAGATGCGGCACACGTCTTTTTTCGGCAGTAGGGAATTAAGGGCTTGCCAAGCAGGATAACGGATATGCATGTGGTCCAGATTGTGTATTTATGGAGTTGGAACATCGGATATGGTCTGCTACTACATTACAAGTATGTCCATTTTGCACAGGGCCTCTCCGCATCAACGCTCGTGATTCGATTGCTCATTGATGACGTACGTGACACTTATTCAGCCCCTGCTTAGGCTGTTGGCGAACTGACCTAGTTCATGCAGCCACTTTTGATAAAGTCAAATGCCTGTCTCTTTCTGCAGTCACTGTCTTTAGTAACTCGCCTGCCGTACGTAGTGTAGTCAAGTAATACTGCATTACGGTGGCGTTGGTTCGATTCATTCGTAGCCGTTTGTATGACAGAAGATGAGAAGAAGAAGGGTCTCAAGTCAGAGATGAGCTGGGACAATCACCGGGTAGCACGACACTGCACAATATAGATCGATACCTCATACACATAATAGGTACTACATCTCCGAATAATGTCCAGATTTATGTATACTCGGTACAAAGTACTCCGTAGTGGCGCAAAGAGAATTCCAGACTCCGAAGCGCCGCACGGACCAGCCGAGAGTGCTGCCTAAGCCGACTTGGCTGCGAAGCACGTGCGGAGACCCCACCTTGATTGAAAATCTTCCCTGCTACCCATTAATGTGCAGGAAAAAAAAGAATCCATGTCGCCCAGCATTGACGTTGCCACGGCTGTCTAGGGTTCTCTTCCAGCATCACTCATTCACCTGCGTTTCATTTTACAATTATCCCGTATCCTTACAGCGTGGAGCTCAAGTCATGGGCTTCAGCTTGTCCGCGAGATTTGTCGTATTCCTAAGAGCTCCGTAGCTGGGTATGGTTTTTTTCCACATTTTTCTTGCATTGCTAGATTCCCCGTAACGAACGTCACGACAAACCGCCCTTCATTCTCGCCAGCGTCTCGCTGTATCCTTAATCATCATTCATCGACCCTCGATATCGCCTTCATGCGACCATTCACTCCAGCCCCTCGAAGCCTCACTGGCCCTCTGCCCAGGAATACTCCCCCGGTAAAATCTATACTCAAGCCCTCTTCGCTTCTGGGCCGCAGGAAAGACCAGCACGACGACCTGCTCAAGGAGAGCCCCGAGGCTCAAGACACGTCCAACAAACGGCGCAAGGTCTTCTTCGACGATATAAAGAATGTGACGTACGAAGTCGGCCGGCGGACCATGGACGAAGTTAAATTAGAAGTGCGGATGGCACTGGAGGCCCATCTGCGAGGAGATGACGGCCAGTACGACGGGTTGAAGGAGATGTTTGCCAACGACAAAAAGAGGTATCTACCGCCTATTGTCGGAGAAGAAGAGGATACGCTGAAGCCCCACGAACTTCAGGTTTACCTCATGGCGTTGACCGGTTGTATTCCTATTCTGAAGAGCAAGGACTGCAATGGTCTGGTGAAGGCGATCCTCAACTGCTCGTGGCTGGGGCGAGATGCTGCCTTTGTCAAAGTATTTACACATTTTCTCGCCGCCCTAGTCAGTGCGCAAGGCTCCTATCTCAACCAAGTTTTAAACATGATTGTGGGCAAATTTCACGACACGCGTCCCTCCGCGTGGCGAGTCCCTGATTTCCCCGAGGTCTCGCGTGCCACGATGCGTGAGAGGCTGCATTCGACCCTACAGTACCTTCTGAAGATGTTTCCATCCGCCATCTCAGTTTTAGAAAACTTGCTTAGAACCAAGTTTCCGTTCCTAGACGATTCGATGAGAGTCCACATGGCCTACATCCACAACCTCCTCCAAGTCAAGGAGTACGTGCCTGATCTGGCGGAAGATGTTTTCGATATGATACTCGATCGCGTTGTCAAAATAGATTCACAAATGCAGCTGGATTTAGAAGACACGGATGATGACATCACAGCCGCCGTCATGTACGCACTGCGCGAGAACGCTCAAGAAGATGCGGGAGGCTGGGAGGACGAGGCGGATGATGATAGTGATACCGAATCCGTTGACAGCGACGACTTGGATTATGATCAAGAGGCCGTTCGGATCAAGACACTCAAAGACAGCGTGGAGAAGATGGACTCGATGCTCGATACCCTTTTCGGCGTCTACACGCCACACTTTACAAACCCCGGGTCAGATAAAGCATTTGACATGTTCACGACGATCCTACGCGAGTTTGATCAGATGGTATTACCGACATACAAATCACGGCACACACAATTTCTCATCTTTCACTTTGCGCAGCAGCACGAGCGGCTGACAGACGCCTTTTGCGGTCAGCTCATCGCCAGCGCCTTCCAGAGCAACACACCAAACATTCTGAAGCAGGCGGCCGCCGCCTATCTGGCAAGCTTTGTTGCTCGGGGAGCCCTTGTTCCGCGCAGCCTAGTGCGCACAATCTTTATGCTTTTGATCCATCACCTGGACCAGTATCGCCGGAAATATGAGCCCCTGTGCCGCGGTCCAGATCTTAAGCGATTCCACCCCTACTACAGTCTTGTACAGGCTACCCTCTACATCTTCTGCTTCCGCTGGCAAGACCTGGTGGTGTCTGCCCCGGAGTTCGTCGACCCTGAAGACCCTGCATCCTACATTGGCCAAGACCTTGAGTGGATTGGGACGGCAAGGAAAGATCTTTCGACGCACATATTCGGCAAACTCAACCCATTGAAGGTCTGTGCACCGGTTATCGTCGATGAATTTGCCAAGCTGGCACACCGACTCAATTTCATGTATGCGTATCCATTAATCGAAAGTAACAAGCGCATTCGATTGACACAATTCTTGTCATCAACTTACTCCACTGGAGGTGCCCTACGAGACTCTGGTTTTGATACCCAAGAAGAGAGCTTTCATCAGCTGGACCCGTATTTCCCATTTGACCCATACCAGCTGCCGGTAAGCAAGCGGTGGCTTGCTGAAGATTACGTGAACTGGAAATCAATACCGGGTTTGAATGCGGAAGACGATGAAGACAGCGACGATTTCGAAGATGACGAGGACGAAGATGCCCTTGAGGACCTTGAGGAGGGCACCGCTACTGATAGCGAGGGCGACTACTCTGAATAAGGGCCCCGATAAGCGATTATAAAAGAACGGATATACCCAAAGCTCCATGTGATGGATGGAACGTTTGTCTATTTATTTGGAATCTCTTGCACATCTCAGAGTTTTATCTATGAATTGCTATTTTAGGAACGGCTAGGGCACACCTACTATTTAGGACAAAAAGGAGGAGGGAGGGGGCTTGCATCGTGCTTATTTACGCAAAGAGCATATGGCCTGGGGGTGTTAGTGGCATTCCCTTTTTTTTTTTTTTTTGGCATGCTGCTAATGCTGTTTTCATTATATCACTTATAAGTCTTTGTCTTGTTTTTTTTTTTTTTTTTTTCTTTAGCGAGGAGTTGGCAAAAAGGAACAGTCGATTTTTCGCGCATTTTGATTTTGAGTTTATCGCATGATGCATGCTGCAGCAGTCGTACGTAGCGTTGGTGCAGGGAAGATTTGAATTAAATGAATAAAAAAGTTATCTTCTTCATCCTGTTGAGATGCGCGTCTCTTATCCTATGCTTCGGCTATACATATTTAGCAGCTGTTGTTGTGCTATAAATAGTGGGAGAGGTAGTATTCGGCTGTTTAATATTGTCTACATGTTAGAAAGTGGGAGGAGGTGAGCGGAGACAGAGGCTGTAAGAGAATTATTTCAAATACTTTGCATGACAGCCCGCTTGGATATATTTGCCCGAGGGTTGCAAATACCACACTATATTCATTATTGTTAAACTCGAGAGATGAGCGCATAGTATGTTTAATCGTTGCGACGCCATTCGGAGCTAATGCTGCAGTTCTTGCACAAAGCGCTCCAACCTTATTAGAAATTTCGCTTTTTATTTCTCTATTCTTAGACGTCGGTATAATCTATTTTCTCCTCTTTAGAAGGATCACGCCGTTCTGCTTACCAAGGTGCCTATCTTTGTGTTTATACCCCGAATAACCATGACGGGATATTTGGGTTTTGTCGGCATTTAGCGCTTTTGGTTCTCCGCGAGGGGCAGGTACCGGGTACCTACAGGGGACTATCGGCATGGGAATTTGGCATCCAAGGAGTAGTAGTAGAAGTGCTACAAGCTTAGAATTTCAGTGCTATGGCAGTCGAGCCAGGCACTGTATGTTGCATGTACTGTATCAGGTAGTCTGCGATGGCGCTAAAAATCGTCAGCAGTAGTACTCCGTACCTTCGCCCACTACAATTTTACATCCAATGGCAAGGCAACGCTAAAGTCGCTAATCAGCGACTTCACTCAGCAAAAGTCAGATTGCCCAGCACCCGCTGAAGCTCCAGTTGTAAGCCCAGAAGCAAGTGATGCTGGGGGCGAGATTCAAAAGTAGCAGGTACCTCGAACAGCCCGCGTCCGGCAATTAGCGGTTTCAGCGCTGACCCGAAAACGAGGCCGACTAAATGCAAATCGACAGCTTGGCGCCGTTTTCGATAACCTTTCAACTCTTTGCTACCTTGACCACGTAATTGCTTAGCTCGTGAAGGTCGGAACCTCTCCCCCCTCCGCACAGGACGGCAGCGCGCGACAGCCATTCGGAGATTATTTTTGCACCTGGCGGTCGATTGCTCGGAGCGCGCACATACGCAACAAGCAGCAGCTCGAGCTTGTCTTGTCTGGGAAGGCGAGTCGCGACAAATCCCCAAACAAGGCTGAAGGGGGCGGACTATCACGCTATTCATTCGCTTCTCTGCGTTCTGTCTGTGTCGCTCAGTCGACGCCCCTAGCTATTGCCATCTGCTGCCACTGTCGGTGGCGCCGCTTGCATTGTCGTACAAGCCGTTGTTGCGATTGACTGTTTGATTGGCCGGCGCCATGGAAGCAGAGACGGCAGACTCAGATCGGCCCTCGTTCACGTCCTTCTGGAAGCGAGTGAAGCAGAAGGAAAAGCAGGAGGGCGACGGCCACAAGAAGAAGGGCAAGAAGACGGCCAGTCCAAGCTCGGCCGGCGAGCTGCAGGACGAAGCATATGCAGAGGACCAAGAAGCAGATCGAGATGCTGGTGAGTGCAGCTGACCCGACGCGTTTCCACATTCGACTCCCCGCCTGCATGGTCTATCTATTTATGCTTGAATTTGCTTGTTGAGCCTTCCCGAGCCGCTGCCCCAGTCGTCCGGATGCATGATTCCATTGTTTCCTTCGCGTGGCGGCTAAGCAACCTGCTGGGATATGGCACATGGCGAGAACCAGCCTGCGGGCGGCATCCTGGGCGCTGCACGGGCGGCTCTTGTATGATTCCAGCGAAAAGGGCAGCAAGGGACTGCCAGCGGCACATCTTAGGTGATCGTCCTGCTCTCGGCGGGTCTGTGTGCGGCTGTCATCAATTCCGGCCGTCCAGGAGCAAGCGCTTCGTGATTTGGAATAGCCAGCGTTGCTGGAGAAGTGCGGCCGACTAGCGTTTGTGCCATCTCAAATCATTCCTCGGCAGCGCAGCCATCATCACCTTTATAACCTTATAAGGGGGAGCCAGTCGCTTTATCTCAGCGCAAATTATGCCTTGCCTCTCACTCTGCCTTTTCATTCGCACCTGCTTTGTGCCCGGCGCTGCTTTGATTCCATTCATGACGGCCGGTCCCACTTAAAGTTTGGAATCTTACACCTGGGCGTTGCGCTTCAAGCCATATTCTCTACTGCACTACTTATCCACGCTATGCCTTTTCTTTGTCGTCTTTCACCGTCTGGAGAGGTTGCACGTTCCAGATCCCGGGCTCAACGTAGGAGGAACATGGACGCTGAACTAAGACTTGTGCGCGCAGATGAAAACGCTGGCAAGGATGCCGATGCCAAGGACCGCGCCCAGCTTCGACGAGCCCAGGTCAGGAAGGCCCAGATCCAGCACCGCCAGCGAAAGGCAAACTATGTCAAGCAGCTGGAGCTGGACGTGTCTCAGCTGCGAGACCTCATCACCCAGGCCCAGCAGGAGACATCGCAGATGCGAATGGAAAACGACGGCATCCGAGATCTGCTAAGGAAGAGTGAGCAGCACCTTCAGCCCAAATATCCGCAGGCCGACTCAACGTATTTCTCAAACGCAGGCTCTCCTGGCACTCTTGTGGCTGGCTTGTCTGAGCTAGACACTCAAGAATGGCTCGGTGGCGGACAACTGTCAGATCTGGACCTGAACCAGAACCCCTTGATGCCTTCGACCTCAAACGATGCGGAAATGTTTGGTCATATCAACATTGATGACATCACAGTGTCACTGGGCATTCATGATCTCTTGGGCACGCCTTGCTTTACCATCAACTCTTCCTCTGGTGCCAGCATACAGACCTCTGCCAGCCCGCCTCCTCCGCCTAGCTTTGAAAGCACTCCCCTAACACCTCCCTTGACCCCTCAACAAGAACAGACGGTGATCAATTGGATATTAGCGTAAGTTTCTCCGTCGCAGATGCAATCCAGTCGAATACATACATTCTTCAGAGCACGACTGACACAGCCCAGACTTGAAAACATTTGTTGGGACCACTTCCAATCCACCGATTTCCACAACCACGTTCCTGGTGAACACGAAGACTCTTACAACCATGCTCTCACCGCAACTGCTCTCTTCATGAATGCCGCACCTGCTTCCATCTTCACCGACCGCCAAGTGTTTACCGCTATAGACCCTGCCACAACACAAGCACCCACCTTCCACTGGCAAGCTAGCGGCATCAACATCAGCTCCCTCTGGGCCCTGGCACAATTTGAGCTTGATCCAACTGAGATCTCTCCCGTACAGATTTGGTTCGACCTAGCGTCCAAGTATTCCTACGAGCTGCTATTTTCGGACGGCTTGTTGACGGCCTTGTTGATCGAAATGAGGCCATTGATAAGGTGTATCGAGTTCGGCGCGTCGATACAGAGGCAATTCTACGAGGATGTGATTGCCAGAGTTCTAGGACCGCCTGCGGTGGTTTAATTTTGATACAACTTTTTTTTTTTCTTCTTCTCTTCTTATTTTGGCTGGATGATGATGATTGATAGTGGGACAAAATATGTGGTGGCGTACTGGTAATCTTTCTTTTTGGATTGATGGTGTACATTTATCTTCACGCTTTTCTTTGAACTGGAGTTCTGATGATGGCTGTTGGTTGTTAAGAAATACCTGAAGTCTTTTTTTTTTTTTTTTTTTTTTTTTTTCATCATTTGAAAGTGGTAGAAAATTGGAGGTAGCACTCTCGATGGCTTTGGCCAAAGTGGAATAGCCGTTAATGGGCCAGGAGATTTGGCACAGTCTGTTAGGATATCTGGATATCTGTAGTAATGACAGAGTGTAAATAGAGAATAGGAGGGAGCGGTGCTGGAATTATTACAGCAAGGATACAAAAGTGAAACATACAACGTACCCATAAAATAAAAACTCGACTTCAAGTCTATCTATCTACAGACTATCTACAAATTTATCTCATACTCAAGTTTGGCCCCAGCCATATGATTAAAAGGGGAAGAAGAAGAGGAGGAGGAGGAGGAGGAAAAAAAAAAAAGAAGACAAAGTTCACCCATTTTTACAAAGCTTTAACCATACTACGATCATCAAAAACATCCCTCAACAGCGCCTCCACGCAGGCATCTCTATCCAGCGCTCCCATAGCATACGTCGATTCAAAGGCGAAAATGCTGAGCTGCCCAAAGAATGGCCTAAGAACTTTGGCAACCAGCTCATCCTTTCTCTCAAACCTAACATCGTCGCTGATGCCACCCGCCCCGAGGAGCGGAAGACGGCGTGGGCCGTTTTGATTAGTCGCCATCTGGGCCATTATCGTTGCATCGTCATGGCCCGCAATGGTGGTTGCGCCGAGCTCTTCGGATATTTCGTCGACCAGAGCGACGGGCTGGTACGTAGATGATCTATATACCGCCTCAATGGTATCTGTCACGAAGAGCCACTCGTGCAGTTGGAAATCATCCGGCGCAACGCAGATGAGCAGGTCGAGCAGCTTGCAAGCCTGCAAGATAGCGGCATTGACATAAATCTCGGATGCCGTGCTGTGATCCGGGGCCACGATGGACGAAATGGCCGAGTGAATCTCGGCATTGACCACGGGCCATAGCCTGGCGAGATGGATTGGGCTGACCTTGAGCACCAACGCTCGGATGACCATGTATACCTCTGCTCGCGTTGTGGATGATGGAGATGATGTCGAAGTGGCCCCGAAAAGCTCAACCACCTTATCAAAGATGGCAGGGATATCCGTAACGAAAGCATCTTCCGCAGAGGCAAGGATCAGAGTAGCGATCCTCCGCAAGTTAAGCTGTGTCTTTCGATCAGCCTCTAAACGAGCTGAAGTGGCGCCCACCCCGAATACTATTCCCGCAGTAGTAGGTGCGCTGATGCGGCCAACTATTTCTGGGATTCTATCCTTATCCGTCAATGCCCACTGCCGCAGCAACGGTAGCCAGTCATTCTGAACCAAAGCGAGGTTCATTGCGAAGAATTTACTATCGTTGAAGGCATCGCTGACATCCTTCTTCCAAGTTTTCTGGTTGTTTGGTAGCCTTGAAAGTTCGTGCAAGAGCTTCAGGGTGCTCGAGGAAACCGAATCTGGGAATGTCTTGGAGCGGAAAGTCGGACCAATAACATTCGTAGATATCGTTGCAGCTGCAGAGAGAACTCGATCAGGCTCAAGGAGGATTTTGGGTAGGTTTGGAACGATGGAAGCGAGAATGGCCACAACATCATCAGATCTTTCAATGACACCGGGAAATGTGCCGCGACGTTCAAGCTCGCCCTTAGCAACTTTGGTTCCTGACGTGCCGTTCGAATTGCTTGAATCAGTAAAAGTCGGCCTCGTGGTGAAGAGAGCAGTGAGAAGCCTTAGGAAGAGGTCCTACATCGAAATCACCGGTTAGCCAATGTACCTTTACGAGGCAATCGCAAATCAAGGAGACAAAAGCTAATATCTTACCCCTAATTCCCTACGCATCTTCCGCTGCTCACCGAAATTGGTGTTGTCGACTTTCTCGCCTAAGATGGCGGCAAATTCAAGAAGGCTAGGAAGCGTTTGTCTGTGAGGGAAAGGATTGTTCAGGAGGTCCTTCAAGAACGTTATGCAGTCTTGCCATATTTCATCCATGGCATCGTCATCCAGTGACCTGGCATATTCAACTAAGAAGACAACCAAGTCGGCATCCTGAAGTGAAATTGTCATTGTTGATTTCCGTGAGGGTTCCAACGCAGCAGGGTTCGTACGACTGTATATCGAGTTGAAAAGGGCCGGCATCGAGTGTTTTGGCCTTGCAGCATCTAAAGCTGCTAAAAAGCTAAATACGGTGACATGCTCTGCAGCGCTCGTTGAGTTTCTCCATACATCAATCACGGTCTCGAGACTTTCGAGAGTCTCCGCCGTGAAAAGGTGTTCAAGGAGACGCCTTGCCCGATTCCGCATCCTCAGAGACGTATAGTTGAAGGACGCTGATGAATTGATGTCCTGTGTAGTGGTTTCATCCCCCTGTCCCCAAGACCAGATTGAAAAGCACATTCGTACAGCATCTTGGAAGGCTAAATGAACGGTCAAGCGGTCATTTGCCGTGGCGCTTCGCGATTGGGGGGAGTCTGATTGGAAGACGCCTGACACCATGCTCCCAAAGATTGATTGAGGCTGGTCGGGGCCTTTCAGAGCCAGCGCTTGAGCTTCTTCAGCCAGCAATTGATCATGTGCCTTGGCCAGGACTTGTTCTAGAGCGTTGAGAAGGTAAATTAAAGTAGATTCCGGTGTGCCAGCCTCACTCTTGATTTCATATGATTCGTCTTCAAACAAGGTTCTCAAATGAGAGAAGGTAGCGCCTATTTGTTTGCATAGGGTTTCGACAAGGGGTATCAAAATCTGAAAGATGGACTGGGAATAAAAAGGCAGACATCTGCTTAAAAATGAGACCCAAGTGTCTAAAACAAACTGGCTGTTTGCTGAGCTTAAACCTGACTGTAGGCACTTGAGTAGCTGGGGTGGCATTATCATAGGAGGGGGCGCCATGTCGCCGGAAGAGATGGATAATCTAGTTGCATGCAGAGGATCCGCGCTTGATCGTCGCTTTTCGGCAATTGAAGATATAGCAAGCTCTGTCGCCACAGCATCATGTAACTTGAGAGCGTCAAAGACGACGTCAAGCAAAAGGACTTGCACATACGGATCCGTTTTTCCAATGGAGATTGACAGTCTATCAATGAGAATATGATCAAGATTCAGATTGAATAGAGGAGCGGCGTGATGGCTTGTGAGGAAGTGGTGAAGAACGGTCAGTGCATAACGATGCAGCTGGGAGACTCTGTTGCTCAGGTCATCGCTAGTAGGCGCAATTGCATCGCCAGTGATGCAGGCCATGCACACCCGAACAAAATAATCCTGTAACGTAATGTCGTCTTCATCTCCACCAGCTAGAAATACGTATTAACAGAGATGCTGGTATGCGCATGAAGTTATAGAATACATACTGGAAATTTGCACCTGCAGCGTATCGTTGAAGGAGAGGTGCTTAGATATAAGTACTGCCCCTGAAGTTTCTCCTGAGTGAATTAGGACGTGATAGAGAGTCCGTAGATAGTACAAGCAGAGATCTATGTCGTCATCTTCGGTGAAAGCGAGGCGGTTAGGTAGAGACTTCTCAGCTTGAAAGCCTTTTCCAACTTCGCGAAGAAAGGGTATCTCTCCAAATTTCATTACGAAGAGTAGAAATAACCTGTGTTCAATACTTAGCAAGAGAAATAGCAAATGTAGAGAGCTATTATGAATAATTACCTGTCAATGCCAACCATGTTACTGAGCCATGATTTGACAGTCATGAACAACTGCGTCCTGTCATCTAACAATCCGTCAAGCACAAGGAACAAAGGTCGTGTCAATATAATCTCATAATGATCAGTCCCACTTAATCTTTGGCCCAATTTTGCTTCAATTGTAGGGATCTTTGGCCCTCGCCGATCGGATTGAGTATCTTGAATAGTATGTGACCAAAGAACACCGAAAGCACGCCCAATATCTGCACCATCGCCAGAACTCTGGTTCACTATGATACTCGCAAGGGCGGCTTCAACATCACGACGAGATAAAGAAATAGCTGCCTGAAGCTGCCAAAGACATCGGACCGTTTCCACGTGATATTTAGGCTCAGAAGCTGCAAGATATGACCATGCATGGCGAACTAGAGGGTGTACAAGCTCAGACAACTCCGGAGTTGAGATTCGTTCAACATAATGAAGCTGCGTGATGAGATGTAGAATTGAAGAAAAGTCAGAAAACCTCAAGGGTCGTTTCTGAGTCAGTTGTGCTTTTAAAGATGACATTAACATCTTCTCATCGAACCTGTAGGTTTTGGGAACTTTCAACAAAATGAGGAGTAGGATTTTGATGTGGAAACTCAAAGAACAAGGCGAATCCTGTTCGGCCGCGTCATCAACAATATATTTGACTGCTTTGGCCAAAATCAGTTCTCCAGTTTCTATTTGAGAGAAAGGTATTGGGGAAGCCTCAGGATTTCCTTGCCCATGGACGTAAAAATCTTGGATTCTTTTCAATAAATCTTTGGCTGACAGCGAAGTAGAGGGATCAGAATCTTTCTTTTGGCTGGTTTTGCCCTTAGTAGGCTCTGCGAAAGCCCAACTTGGCACCAGTTCCAAGAGAGAAACGACAATGCTGAGGACTTGCTCTTTAAGAGATGAATTAGGGCTATCCGACAGACGAAGGGTATCTTTTCGACTTGCTGCATCTTCTAACATGGCCAAAGCGGCGAGACAGGCAAGAGGAGCATGGATTGTGCTCATCTCGCCATCATGCACATTGAAATGGGCAATGATAAACTTGACCAAAGAGAGTTTGCCGCTTCGATCTTCACTGTTAGCCTTCCCAGAGCTAATAGCTTGATCCAGAAGTCCAACGAGTTCGCCGTATATCAGACCACCCTCAATACCATCGAAAAATACGCTTGCGCTGCGTAGAACTTCTGTAAACTCTCCCTTGGCCGGGCCTTGATTCTGAAACTGCCGTACGCTCTCCACCACGGGAAGAAAGATGTCCGGTATCACCAGTCCACCAACTTCCAACTTGTCCATCAAAGAAAGACAAATTCTATATGGGCGGGTTCGTTCGGCAACTCCACCGTGAGAAGTATCTTTGATCATTTCAAGAAGAGCTTTTGTAAGGGATTGTAGACCAAACTGCTCGAAGTAATTTGTTCGAGAAGATAGCAGAGCCTGCTGACCATCTGAGGCGCCACCATGTAAGTCTGGGTTGTGTTCATTTTCGTTGCCTGCTGGCTCAGGGCCGAGGAGCCATGCCCATAATCGACGATTTAGACTCATATCTCTTCGGGTAACTACTCCAACAGCCGCTCTCAAGAGAAGTTCCAGATCACCAGGTTTAACAAGAGATTGTAACACTTTGGAATTAAGTGGGAGATGTGAGACAAGCAGATCAAGAAAGCCACGCTGTATCAACAGCTGCTCATCAGAAAGCCCACTAGCAAAACATCTCACCAGCAAACCCGGTTCTGGAGAGGTAACAATAGCAACAATCTCGTTACTATAGTTGCCTTGGTCTGCATCGTTTTGGCCATTTTTCTCGCTGGATGTAACGATAGATGAGTCCGAGCCCAGGACAGGCAGATTTCGAACCAAGTAGGCTAGAGCACCGGCACGGCGGCCATGGCTTGTAACAGAGGCCAGAAAGAAGCATTGCCAAAAGAAATCGTCACCGGTGGCATGTTGTTCCGTGAGAGTGACGCTATCTGCTGGTCGGATAGCATTCTTGAAGCTTCCCATCAGTCGCATAGTTCGATCAAAATCCTCGCTAGTTTCATCTTCTAAACCAGGTAGCAGTGCCAATATTATTGATTTCATAGCTGGACGTAAGGACCTGGAATCGACACCCGTAAAATGGCGCTCAAGAAGGTCGAGATATGGAGACCGGACGGAGAGTGATGCAAAAGAGAGGGTGGGTGCCAATCCAGGAAGGTATAGAGGGAGGTCTCGAGAGAGCCCATCTTTCCCAATCGTTTCAAATACATAATTATAAACTTCGAGCGCCTTCTGGTGTACACCCGAGGGTAGAGACGGGTTTAAACATTGTGATAAACGTTTCGCGACGGTAATCTTGGAGGGAATAATAGTGCTGGCGGGCGGTCGAGCTTGCAGGCTCTGTCCGAGGAAGTCAGTACGTCATGTTGCAGAACGATTAGGGTTGTGTTTTGGTTATATCTAACCTTAAGGAGCCTGTTGAGGAAGGATATATAGTCAGCCCATTCCTCTAGAGCTGTTTCGAATAAGAGCAACGCCTTGTCGACTCCAGCAGCATATCGACGGTATGCCTTGTCCTTAACCGGGGCATCTCCTGGAGTCTCTAAATCAGCTAAAGGACGAAGAAAATCCATTCCCCAATGAATCCTACCCACCTCCGCCGAGTTGGTTCCTCCATTGTCGTGGAATGGGCGAGTCCCGCCCAGAGCTCTCTGGCGACCCGGAGCGTACGCCAGGACCCAGTTCAAGCGCCATTATGCCGGGCTAATTGGTTCATGGGTGAGATCAATGACAACAGCGTTTGGAAGTCGGGAAGCGAGTCGCATAGCGGCGAGAAACAGCTGTAGCTACAATGCAGCTGCTGGACAGCTTCACGATGATTCGCCAGAGTTGAAGTCGTCCAGAAGGCTACGTTTCAGTGGTTGCGCCCAAAACGCGGGAGTCGACAGAGCTAAGGTGCCGACATACGTAGCCAACCCCACTATAGGTGATTGATTGGCACCGACTGACGCAAGGCTACAGGCCCTGGCGACCAATACGTACCGACCACAGCGGACCAGGCAGCGCCACAGTTGATCCAACACCTTACTTCGGAGCTCTTTCGCTTCCAGTTTCCTCCACTGCTCTGTTCGATCCGCCTCTCGTCGTCGCCGCGACCAAAGTGCAATGGCATGATGGATGGCAAGGCTGTCTCGATAGCAGCAAGACCGCGCAACCCTCTAGATCTTGCTAGATGAGTGCCTATTAGGTTCCGCCCTCCTTGAAATGCAACAGAACTGCGCACCACGATGGGACAGGAGAGCGATTCCCCCGTCGAGGAGCAACCCCCTCCGCTCCCACCTCGACCACACGCGAGCAGCGTGAGCAGTGCGGTAGACCCGAAAGCCTTTCAGGCTCAAGCGACGACTGCTATAACATCGTTGGATATCCAGACACTGTCCTTTCCCGACGGGACGCGGGGAACATTCTCCACGCATTCCCGGTCTACATCGACACCCATAGGCAGCGGCTATACGTCTCCAAATCCCCCCCGGCCAAGCAGCTCGGGGGCTGAAGGCGACGATGCCGCCAGTATCATGAGCTTTGCGCCAACGATGCGCCCGGCGGGAGACATTGCCAGCTTGTTGACGTCCTCGCTGAGCAAGAAGAGCGCCGCATGGAATCTGCTAAAGGCGCAAGCGGCAAATGCCCAACCATTTGAGAAACATTACAGAAGCGCAGATGATCGACTCGCCAATTTCGAGAAGGAGTTTGATGCGCTTCCCGATGAAACAAATGAGTACTTCAAGGACGACGAAAGGTTGGCCATTTGGCGCTCGAAACTAAAACAGTACATGGTCCTATCCTCTGCCGGCAAACCCATCTGGAGCCGACATGGAGACCTCAATCTTATAAATTCCTCCATCGGAGTGGTACAAACCATCATATCTTTCTACGAAGGCTCCAAAAACCCCCTCCAAGGTTTCACAGCTGGCAACACCCGGTTCGTGGTATTGACTCAGGGGCCACTCTATTTTGTAGCTATCAGCAAGCTTGGGGAGAGCGACTCACAGCTACGTGTACAACTAGAGGCCTTATATATGCAAATCTTATCAACCCTCACGCTACCTTCTCTAACCAACATATTCGCGAATCGACCGTCCACCGACTTGCGCAAACCGTTGCAAGGAACCGAAGCTCTGTTGTCATCGTTAGCGGACAGCTTCACGAAGGGCTCTCCCTCAGCATTGCTAAGCTCATTGGAATGTTTAAAGCTGCGCAAATCTCAGAGGCATACAATTAACAATACATTTTTGAAATCAAGGGCCGACAAGCTGCTCTACGGGCTCATTGTTGCTGGAGGCAAGCTTGTCAGCGTTATTCGGCCCCGGCGCCATTCTCTTCACCCTAGCGACCTCCAGCTCATATTCAACATGCTCTTCGAGTCGGAGGGCATCAAAGCTGGAGGTGGCGAAAACTGGATTCCACTGTGCCTGCCGGCCTTCAACAATAAAGGGTATCTATATATGTATGTCAGCTTTTTCGAAGGGGTGTCAGGCGAGCAGGCGACGGCACCCGCTGCGGCCGTGGGACAGCCGGTGGGCGAAGAGATTGCCATGATCCTCATCAGCGCGGACAGAGAAGCATTTTTCAGCCTCAAGCAGATGCGAGACGACGTCGCGCAACAGCTGGCAAAGAACGGCAGCCTCGCCATCATCCGAGATGCCGCTCGTGCTGGTCGCCCCAGCATGGCGCAGATCGCGCCAGGAAGCCCGATTTGCCATTTCTTGTTTAAGTCGCGAGCGAATGTGCAATTCTGCATGTCAAATCTAGAGCCGGCTTTCAGCCATCCTGTAAAAAGAAGACGTCTCATGACGGTATATCACGAGCTCCATGCCTCGACACACGCAAAGAATGCGCATCTTAAGATTTTACAATGCGTAAGCGATGACTCTACATCTCTTGCTTGGCTCACTCCTGCGTTTGAACTCTACTGCATTGGTGGGCCTAATTTGTCACGAGCGGCAATGGCGCAGGGCGCCAATAAGATTATGCAATGGATTAAGAGAGAAGAGAACCGGTTGTTCATCATTGGTGGCGGTGTATTTTGACACCTTTTTCTGAGTTCATAAATCATTATCATACAAATTGCAATTTGATCCAGCCCCCTTATACAGTGCCACTGCCTTGCCTCGCATTCCTATCAACGGTAATGTTAGTGACGACAGAAGCCGCAGGTTGCTCTTTTTTCTCTTGTGTCATATCAATTTGTTGTAGTTTTTTTTTTCTTCTTCTTTTTTTTCCCGATTTTGTTCTCTGTGCTTTGTTCCTTGTCACTGTGCTTTTTTCCATTTTCGGTCCCATTTTAAGTCGGCTTTGGAATTTCAGCCACAGTGATGATTGTTGAAGGCTGAGTGTGATTGTTGCGTTTGCCGTAAGCCGTCTCCATTGGCAAGGTGCTCATCCTCCTGGAGCCCCTACTTGGGGGTGGTTGTAAATCAGAAAAGCCTTCGCCAGGACGTGAAGGCCGCTGTCGTTTAATCGTCAATGAGCGCTTGGCCCATTGCAGCACCTTGTCGTTGACGCTCGCCCGGCGCTTAGGCAATTGCACCCAGCTGTCGTCATAGCTTCGCTGAGGCGGCGGTGGAACTTTGTCTTTGCTCTCCGCAAAGTAGGACGTCTTAGGAGGCGGGGGGTCCAGGAAAGATTCGGAAAAGGGAGCATCAAAGTCCTCGTGGAAACGAGGGCTGCGGATGGGGCTGCGTGACTGGAATTGAAGATCCGGCTGGCTGGCGGCGGGCATCAAGAGGTGGAAGTCGGGTTTGCGTGAAGCCATGGCGAAGGTGGTGTATTATGTCTAATGCTGACTGTCAAACGAGCGTGTTTATCAAAAGAGTGTGAGGGTTGAGAACGTTGGCAAATAAATTGCAGAGAAATAGAAAATCAGGTCATTGACGCAGACGGGGCGAGATATATGGCCACAGCAGGTATGATGTTGGCTACAGGGAAGAAGAGCTCTCTTATAAGTGCTACGAGGTGCTCAAGGCCTAATCTCCCTGGAAACGCGCCGCTGGGAGGTTTTTAATCAAAGTTCAGAAACCCGGCGGTTGACGAAATGAAAAAACTCTATAATGTCTCTCGGAAGGGCGGGAAGGAGAAAAAGAGACGGGCGAGCGAAGGGAACAAAAAAATTTGCCCTATGCCTCTCCGGCAGTGCAGCCAACGAGCAGCGCAGAAATTATTAACAGATGCAGCTAATGGCCCGTACCACCAAGCGTTGAAAGGATTGCCGCATGTCATTATCCACAGTGCCCCTGACTAGAGCGCGTCGTGCTGGTGGAGTTGCGGGGGGCCAGCCAGTCAAGATCCGGAGATGGCCTGTAGGGCCCCTCTCCAGGGGCATTGCGGCGCTAGGGTTCAGGCCCGGTAGCGGCCGGCAGAGTCCAGGCAGGGCACGCTGTGACCTTGAAACGGTGCTGAATGGGTGGCCTGGACTCGCACTTGTGATGCCGAGGGAGCTGCGTGCCAAAGTTTAATGGGCTCTTGGGCCTCTATTCGAGCAGCAGCTCGTGTTTGCTTGGGATTTGGGGGGGGGGAGGTCTGATTGCTTTCGTTTTTCTTTGTTGCTGGCTGTTGCCGTTGCTGTTGATCTCGCTGCTGCAGGTCCAGCAGAACAGAGTGAGGTTGGCACATGTCCTCAATTTCGTTGGCCACAATCCCACCGCTTGTACTGCCCATCTCGTTTTTAATCTCCGATCATATTTCTAGAACAATGTCCCGGACCTAAAGAGACCCAACCGCTACGCTATCGTCGGTACCAGTGGTGCATACCGTTAGTGGTGGTTCTATTCCGTGGTAGCTGGGCGTGGCAGGCTGGCAAGGCAGTTTAAAGATTGGAAGGGGGCCTTGCTGGCGAGGCCACGTGAGCCACATTTCGGAAGACGCTGCATGGGAAATCATTTCGCCAAAGTGCACGCATAAACGAGGGGAGAGTCACCTGTGCACGCCCACTACTCCATAGTAGTACTAAGGCGAAACGGCAGCATCCAAGCGGTGGGAAAACAAAAACACGACAGAGTTCAGCTACGTCTCGGATAAATGCCAAGCCTGTACCGCAATTGGCTGGAAACAGACCCAGTCCTGGTTCCTGGATCCCGCGCCTGCGAGGCCAAAGCTATCTGCCATCACAAGATACGACTTCAGCTACTCGTGATGGCTGCAGACAACAATAGCGTTATGGTTGATATGAAGCAATGACACCATCTATTGGCACCACGTGTCTGTGCTATGACCTCATTAGCATGAGTACAGTTTGCATGGACTGAGATATGAGACTACAAAGAGCAATGATGCTCAGCACTACTAGCAGCGCACAGTTGTTATTCGAGGCCACATGATAGGAGCAACGCTTTGAAGCCTCCAGTACCTCAGCCATTCTCCCGAGGCAACACCAACGGCTCAAAACTCTAAATGACACCTCTGGAAACTACAAGGCTAATGGATGCCAGGTGCTTGTGGCAATTGGAAAACTGCATTTTTATCTGCAATCTACCGAAATAAATCAATGAGCTCATCTTGCATCTCTAGGGTAGTGAGTGAAAGGCTTGGTGCGGCCCATGCTCTACGAAGTACCTCGTACACTTTGTGATGAAATGTAGTCCTCGGTCCTTTTCAGCGACGATGCCAAGTACTACTAATATTTATCATCCATATCTACTAATCGGCGTCCATCTATTTGTAGGCGGCAGCATGTATTTCGCAGCGCTATATGATGGCTAAATGAACGTTCTGACCCGATTACTAGGATTTACTTATTGGACGACCTGATAGAACGCAAAATATAACGCCATGTTGTGTATACGTTACCTTATTCTCACGGGCAGGTACGCCCGAGTGCCCTTGTATGCGCCACGCATTCCAGTGAAAGTGATTCATCGCGGCTTCCTCCTTTGCTCCTTCCCACCGTTGCTTTGTATTCCATAATACCAGATGGACCTTCCATTGTGCATCGCGTCTTTCTCGCCGAAATGCCGACGCCTAGGTAGGTAATCAGGCTTCCTTGCCACGATCCATCCTCTATATCTGAAAATGTTTGTACCAAAAGTCCTGGTCGCGATCTTCTTGGAGTTGGTTTACAGTTCTCGCGTTCTGGAAGTTTTTGATTCGCAGGTATCGACCCATCGTCTTTGGCTTTTCTGCTTCTTGTTCTATTCCCCGAGCCCGTCTATGTTATTTTAATGTGTATGATATTTTCGTCTTTCCCTTCCCATCACAGCCAGGATTTGCCTCGTTTCTATGGACGCTGCTCGATTACGACAGAGATCTGCCAGCCATTCTTCGCTGCGCAGCCAGTATCGATATCAAACCAGAATGATCAACTACCCCAATCCTCGTCCGCCAGCTCAAAGGCACCCGTTACGCAGAGTCAACCAGAATTCCGCCCTCTTACGCTCACCCGGTCCCTTAGAGAGCATGCTGAAGACTACCACCGAGACAGGTGACATCGGCATCTTTTCTATCAGGCCAAACTCTTCTTCAGCGCCCTTTGATCGACCAAACAGATCCATGTCGCATCCCAGAGATGTGGATTTATTGCTTCCAGCACGCTCTTCGGGGTATGATGAAAACTACTACTACCATCCAGATGACCATAAAAGACTGCGGCCGTATCGCGATACGGCTTCTGAAATCATTTCTCTCTATGGCTCTGAAAGTCAGCACACTCAACTGTCCTCACCAGCGAGTCTTGAAGATGACCCCAGGTCGTATTCAATGACTACAACCAGTTCAAAACGGATCCCTTCCCAGAAATCTACAGGTACATTACAAAGCCAATCCAGCGGAAGTGGCTTCCAACGTCCAAGATCCCCTTTTCCTTACCCGACCCGATTGAAGCGCCCCGGAGTTCGCCCCGCTTCTCCAGCTCTCAGAGATAATGGGGATGTTGACTATAGTAGGATGGTTGAGTTAGAGCGCTTTTCTCAAGTAGGTCTCCAACTTGGAACTTTTACAGAAATCTCTTCATGACTGACATATTTCGTGTTTGCAGAGAACTGTTCATGGGTCATACAAATCTACTTATATCCAAGGCTCTCGACGGCCACCTCCGCTTTCAATTCGTGCAGAAGTCAATAGATCAACAACTTCTCTGCCGTCAAGGCCACTGCACTCGCCTCATTTTTATGTACCGGGATCTTGCCAGGCCAGACCGCACAATCCTGCCATGGTGTGGGCACCCATGCAGCCAAATAGAAATCAACCATGTCCCACGGATCAAAGCATTCGGTCGGCTAGTCTTACGTCCATCGTTGAGATGTATGATAAACCAGTAACTTCAAATTCAAATTGTGCGCCTCTCCGATCGACCGGCTCTATTTATTATGACTACAGTGAACAATTCGAAGACCGGCCATCTTGGGACATTGACGTAGATGTGCCGCTTCACCCTATGCCACAGAGAACTGAAAATATTCGTCAATCCCTGCTACTAATGGACGATATCCAAGGGCAATTTGATATTGGTGAAAATGATTCAGACTCGTCAAAATCCAATATGCAAGAAGCTGAGAAAGATTTGATTGAGCCTTCACACTTATCAATCACTAGGAAACGCCATTCTGAAGGAACAGAAACAAAGCAGCTGACCCTCCAAGATGAAAATGGCGCCACGGATATCACAACTTCCGATTTATTGAATTCTATTGAAATTGCTTTAAATGCCTTTTCTGAAAAAGAGCAAAGCCAGCCACTAGCTGTCTCGAATGAAGCGTCACCAAACACAGAACTAGATACCGCTGAGATGGGTTCAGTGATGAGCAATCCAGCTTCTACAGGATCAATATCGCCTCTGACAACGTCTTCTGATATCTTGAAAGCCAACTTTGATATAGTGGAAGACCTTCGAAGCCGGCCACCGTCTCAAACCGGCGGTATCTCAAAGTTAAGATATTCACTAGATCCCGCATTGTCCGACTTTGCCTCTGTTTTATCATCTTTTGACCGCATAGGAAGAGTGTCAATTTCGAAAGACAGCGAAGTCCAATCTATCGACATGGAAAACAATGAATCATCTGTATTCCAGCCAAACGAGGCGGAGGCACCTGTTTTGAAGAGACTGAGCGAGTGCTCGCTCTTACCGTCCACAGACAAGTCTGGTACAGAGGAGAAGGCGTATCCGAAATGTCACCGACGACATATCGCAACACTGATGATTAGTACGACTGGTGCCATCTCAGATGACATTTCCAAAAATAGCTCCAGGCGAGAGGACGGGTTACCAATTCTCTCACCAGAGCCCATTTCCCCTGCACGCGAGCTTAGGGTCAAGGAGAGTATTCCTCAGCTAATGAAATCTTTGCCTCCGCTACCGAGAGAAGCTGGGAAACTCTCAGGCTATGGCACTGTAGGCTTATTATCATTACCTAGTTGCTCTGGGTACGAACCTTTGATGCCAAGCAAAGACGAGCCTTCGGGAATGAACCAGAGATCTTTGTCAGCCGTTCTATCACCGACCTCGCAAAACATCCAATCAAAATTCAGCACAAGGGCTGTGGCATCACCTTCTTCACCCCGAATCATTCCTGATGCAACATGCTCCGTTGCAGCCAGCAGGCCAGTGTATAACGCCTTGCAAGATTATGGACATACCCCAGCGGGTCGGCCAGCACTCAAGCTCAAAGCGTCACACAGCCAACTCGACCCGGTTCGGCCCAGTCAGAGCGGGCTTTCTCCGTATAACAATCGATTGAAACAGTGCAACTCACTCGCAGAGTTGGCGGCCTGTCCTAAAAAAGACGTAGTGGATGAAAAAGTTGACACGGCTATGGGTGGCAAAGCGCAGGTATCGAACTGCGAACCCAACAGTGACAATTTGGTGATAGCAGACGAGACGTCTATCCGCTTTCGGCCGTCTTCTCAGCCGTCAGATCAGTTCAATATCCCTTATCCACCATCGCCCATCAAAACTGCAGTTCACTCAAACCCTATTACACCAATACCTGGGACAGCCTTGACCGAAGCGCATAGCTATGATATCAGCCCGAGTGGACCACGTGGACTACGAGGCAAATTTCCGCTGCTTCGGATGCAGTTTGCTAGCTCACAACGATCAGCTATCGCATCAAAAGACAACGGATCTATGCCTTCTTTGGGTATGAATAGACTCTCGACGCTCCCCACCGCAGCCGGTAAGGGCACAAATATCACATATGGGGAAGGGGCTAGTAATAAATATCTGCCACCTCTTCCTGAGATGAATAAAGCAGAATGGCGTATAAAGAGGTGGGCGCGAGATGCTAAAAAGGCTGTTCGGCTATATGTGAAGAAAGCACTGGATCGATCTCTCAAAGCGAACACATGAGTAATAGAGCCTTGCTTAACTAGAGCTTGGGCAAAGTTCTGAATGTGGTGGCCGGCAACGTGCACAATCTTATTATTGGGCGTGTTAAACAGGGCAAACAAAAACATACAGCAAATATTACAATAATACTAATGGAGGCCTTCGACCAAGAGAGAAGGAAGGACGATGGAAGGAAAGATGAGATAGGGTATGGAGTTCCGACGGAGGTTTTGTAGGAATATAGTCTAGTTTGCAGAAATACTTGGACCAGTTATGCCTAGACGCTTAAGCTAATGTACAACCATTTGTTAGACCTTAACATTATAGATTCAGATTTCTTTTCGCCTTTTTACGCAAAAGGATTTACGAGGTACATGCATTCATTCGAGCGAACTAGTGTTTTGCACTGAAGGCGGAGGCGCAACTCCGTCTCCATCAAGGCGATTCCAAGACTTAGCAGATGCACTAGATACGCAGGTGTGGATCACCATATTCTGGGGTAAATAGCTACAGGTTGATAAATGGAATTACGCATGCTTTGCGACGGATCATGTTTAGAACTGCCTTTATATATAGCCCTTTAAACATCTACTCGGCTGCCAAAAGACTTTAATGATTTGGTGCGGCCTACGCCTAGAAGCACAAAAAGAAGCAAATGATTCAAACTTCGATAATAACTGGGCAACAAGCCCGACTTGCATCACGAAGCAATGCACACACGACATCAACGTCAGGCCTGGCACCTGGATATTTACAAGCAAATCTTATTATCTTGCCGTCACGGTACGCAAGCGATTTCCGCAACCTCTGTGCTAGAAACCCCGTCCCATGCCCCCTAATCGCCGAGTCTGCAACCACCGGATGCGGTGACGCGGTGATATCCCATATCAACACCCTTCGCGGCGATGAAATTCTCGGTAAAGGGAGTGACCTAAGGCGAGACGCACCGCGATATATGGTGTACAAGGATTCGAAGTTGGAGAAGAGCCACTGCAGCGATATTACAGAGGAGTGGACGAGCGATCATGTTGCGTTTCTGATCGGCTGCTCATATTCCTTTGAGGCTGAGCTGACTGCGGCTGGACTCCCGCCACGACAACTGGTGCTAGGGAGGAACGTGCCCATGTATAGAACGACTCTACGGTTGTGTCCGTCTGGGGTGTTTCGAGGAGCCACGTACGTTGTGTCTATGAGGCCGTACAAGAGACGGGATATCGAGATGGTGAGGAGCATCACAAGGAGGTTTGGGGCTACACATGGGGAGCCGCTGGATTGGGGGTGGGAGGCGGTGGAGAGGCTTGGGATTGAGGATATTGATGCGCCAGAATGGGGGGATGCGCCGATGGATGGAGATGGGAAGCGAGCGTTTGGACGGGCGAGAGCCGAAGGTGGAGGTGAGTGTGAAGACGAAGAGATTCCGGTGTTTTGGGGCTGTGGAGTGACGCCGCAGGAGGCGGTGATGAGAGCCGGGCTGGAGGGGGTGGTGATGGCTCATGCGCCGGGACATATGCTGGTGTTGGATGCTCGAGATGAGGATATCGCAAGGTGATGAGAATTAGTGGTGGTGCTTGTCACTTGAACCAGCCATTGGGATTGATGGCGGGTTGATGGCTTACAAGTTTTGTAAGTCACAATGCGGCGGTGATGCCTTCGTCGGCTGCAAGCACTCTACTGCTCTTTACCTTCACTCAGCGTATTTGATTCGTCATTACCATCAATGCATCATTCGGTTACGGCCACACCAAGATTGATTTTTTAATAACATCGAACTCTGCATTACATGTCGTATCTACCCATCTATCCGTCCATCCATTCAATTCGACAAGCTTGTGGGCGGCACCACTATTAAGCGACTTAGCGTCGGAGATGCTGGCCGATGATGAGGAGCATCGACCAACAGGAATCCAGCTCCTCAAGTGGGTGCTTCTGGAGTCCATCCCCGGCGAGTCGTGCTGATTTATAGCGCTAACAGAGGGCTGAAGGAGCGCCATCTTGGGATATCTGAATCGTACATCTCTCACATGTCACGTTTTTCTTTTTTGGTTCCCGCCTTGTCAACTTAGACGAACACAGATTGACAGCTAGTGGTTACAACTGTCTGCACACTATATTAATAGTAAATATCTTGATATATCTGAGCGCAATCGCTGCCAATCTGTCTATTAGGCGGTAATAACGGCGCACGATGGAGGAACCCCTCTTAGGAGACTCCGTCAAGACGTCGTAAGTCTCAAAAGGCTCAGCCTTTTTAAGCCACTACTAACACGCCAGACTACCAGCTGTGAGCGATGCCGTCGTCGTAAGGTCCGTTGTGCATTCTATGTTATAAAATCATCTCAAGACTTTTGAAACTTACGCCTTGACTATTCCGTGCTGTAGATAAAATGCGATCGAAAACGTCCCTGCACTAGATGTGCCAAGGCGGGGACCGAGTGTATTCTCCAAGGCATTGGAGAAAAGCAGCGGTAAGTGGAGGGACGTTGAGAGAGCCATTTCCAGCTTACTGACGACAGCTCCGAACAGTCCTGTTTCGAAGAGCTATATTCAAGCCCTCGAAGGCCAGATAACCGCGCTTGAGCAGGTCATCCGCAAGCTGGCCGTCGCGGACAACGCTGAGCGAGATCAGATCATCTCGGATCTATCCTTGACCACGGGAGCTGCTAATGTCTCGTCATCGGATGGCGGACAGGCTGATCCCAAGTCAGATCCGAGCCTTGCGGCTGCGCGGGTTAGGTCTGGTCAGCTGAGGCGACTGCGAGGAGACAACGCGGCTCAGTTCTTTGGGGGAACAAGCTTACTGCAGATACACTTTTCAAAGGATTCTTCTTCTTCGTCTCCCGCTGCGGCGAGTGCTGTGGGCATAGAGTCTTTGGCCATATCGACAGAGGGCTCGAATGCCAATAACAGTCAAAATATTGTTAACAACAGCGTGGATGTGGGCGATCTGTATGGCTACCTCGATGACTATGGTCTTCAGAGTGCGACTTTCCAGTACGAGCCCCACCATGAAACTTCACAGAAGCTCATGTCAACCTTCTTCTTGGAGATTTATCCATACTACATGGTCGTGTACCGCGAGTATTTCTTGAGAGACTATGATGTCGGGTCTGGGAAATATTACTCCGACGTGCTGCTGTACTCGATATGCGCCCTGGGAGCGCTGCAGTACGACGATATGCTCAGCCTCTCCGACGTCTTCTCGAGCCAGGCTCAGACCCTCCTTTATTCCACCCTCGACAGTCCTGACCTGACGACTCTCCAGGCCCTCGTTCTACTTGGTTATCGCGAGATTGCCGTTGGCCGAGCATCCAAGGGCTGGCTGTTCTGCGGCATGGCTTTCCGCCTCGCACATGAAATGGGCCTCCATCTCGACCCGACCAACTGGGAGGGATCTACCGAGTCGATTGGTGACCGAGAGATTCTGCGGCGAGTCTACTGGGCGGCCTTCATCGCCGACAAGCAGCTCAGCCTCTATTTCGGCCGGCCTCCAGCTCTGTACCCTGGCGAGTCGGATGTGCGGAATACCATCCGGCTGCAATATCCCCCTGGTTGGCAGGGCCTCCTTGAGACGTATATTTGCAAGGGAGCGTCAGCAAACGAGTGGGACAATGGCGTTGCTCTCGTGGGCTCGTTCATTTACAGGGCAGAATTGTCCAAAATTATTCACGTCATCATCACTGACCTGTTTGAGAATCGGAGAGGAGGTGCAGATCCAACCATTATCGCGACAAAGACGCGGAGGATACATGTGTCGTTGACCAAGTGGCTTTCCAATCTGCCCAGCTTTTTGCACTGGAACCAATGGACGGTTGGCCAAGTGCCTCACAACGTTTTACATCTTCAGTGAGTTTTTTTTTTTTTTTTTTTTTGTAGTTCCCTCTGCATTCATACAAGTCTTCCCAATGGCTGATTATCGCAAACTTCTATCAATAGCATGATGTTTCACACCATTATGATAATTCTCCATCGACCACCGTCGCATATGTTTGAGAAGCCGGGCATTGCCGAAAGCGAAGACGTGGAAATCTGCTACGAATCTCTACAGGCAATTCTACGTCTAATGCGAACTTTTTCTCGCTACTACCGCTATAGATCATTACCGTTAGATTTCGTGCACACGCTCTCCACCGCCGCAAGCACAATCATGATGAAGCGCTTCCTCCAGAAGGCGTCGTGGAGCGACCCGGACATTGAGCGTGCGCTGTCGCTCATCACACTGGCCATGGACGAGATCCAGAACACTTGGCCCTGCGTGCGAGAGGTTAGGGACGTGCTCCTGCAGGCGCAGCAGACACAGGCGACGATGCCACCGGAGGATCCTCTGGATGCGCCTGATCTGATGAATGGGCTTGAAGCGAGCGACGATGATGGATTCTTTGCAAATCTAGGAGACGGCGACATTGGCACACTTCTCACAGACGAGTTTTTGAGTGCGCAGCTCCCTGGAATGGGACTGGAGCCATTTGATTTCAATCAGATGTCGGGGCCTTCTTGAGGAATAGGCCGATTACGTTAGGCTTTCCATCTTACTGAGAAGGCCAAGTTTCTTTTTACACAACCCTGCACCACGCCATCTTCACCTCTTACTTGGACCCATACGAGCACCATAACCACGGCATGTCACTTGTGGAAAAAGATTTATTCCGCGAAAAGACAGTTCATTGCTGCTCTCGAAAGATCCATGTCAAAAGACTCTTGGGTAATAGGTACCATTACTGACTTTACATGGCAGCGTCAAAAGTGATGGATCAGGCATAGTTGCTCAGATAGCCAGGAGGATGATGCCATGCGGAGCCGTGCAGATCTTTGCGTTAGGGGAGAAGGATTCACCGCTACGTGCGCTGTCAAATGAAGCTGTCGAAGTTTTGAGCCATATGCTACATAGTAGTGGACGTGGCTTTGGTGGATATCCCATGAGACGGACACTTGCTTCATCGTTGGAGTGTGACACACGGGCATTCCGCACCGATGGCTTTGAAACAAAGTACTATGGAAGAACAGTGATAACGTATCTCACCTAATGTTTTTGTTTTATGAATCAAATACGAAATACTACGTATGAAATATCGCGTATTAGCAGTAAAATTACTAACACGCCGATGAAATTTGCATCCCTGCCGTATGCCCCAAACGGCGCATGGACTGTATAGGGACTCTCACTTCGTGTTTTTATATCCTTCTTCGTCCGCCGATCGTGCCCAAGCACCGTGTTGAGACCGAGAATGCTCAGGGAGAGCACCAGGCTGCTAAATATAGCAACGGCGATGTGGCCGAGCCGAGGCCCTGCAAGCCCACAGACAGGGCAAGGGCTTGATGTTTGTTTCGCTCTTTGAATGATGTCTCCAAGTCAGGTTCTTTCCGTGAATATCGTATCATGCTCGGGATTAACCAGTCGATGCGAAAGATGCCGCGATGAGTGCATGTAGAGGCGATGCCCATCCACGTGATGCTTTTTGTGTTGGGTGATTACATGATTACCTGGATAAGGAGCTGGTGCATTTTTCTTGCTTAGTTCAGTAGGTGTCCGTCATGCTGGCTGGGCTAAAAAAAGGAACACTGGATGTTTTGACGGGGACGCGAGGCTTATTTAGGTGCGATAGTTTATTATTTGGAGACGCTTGGGGAAATTGGGTTGATGCCATTGATGGCGCGATTCATGCGCCGCCGCTCTGGCGTACAAGTACTTAGTAGTAAGTATGTGAAGATGATGTCCAGCCGCACATGCTACGATGCGGAGGGCCAAGATCTCGTGCGTTGCGCAAAGCAAGGGCCGTGTTGGAATCAACACCGACATCCATGGATGGCCGGCAAATCCAGGTGCCCTGGGCTTTTACCCACCGGGACTGGCATCTGGCGTGCCTGTCTCTGAATGGAACTCGCCCTGACAATCGCCCCGTCCAGCGGCCCCCTGTCCCGGCAGCATTCTGCATGTCCATGTAGCAAGCATGTCGGCCAAATCCGTAGCTTGACAGCCCCGAAAGCATCTGCCGTGGGTGCTGTCTGGATATCCGTGCGTGTAGATGTGCCACGGCTCCGAGGAATAGGCACTGCAAGACTGGCCGGAGATGGACTGCATGCACAGTACCTCGAATGGACGAATGGGCAGAGCAGAGACTCAGCAGTCCCCGCTGGTTACTCGGCACCAATGCCAGTATTGCTCTTTCATTCTACGATTTTTCCAAGCAGGTATCAGGCAAAATCTGGTCATCCACTGCATCGTTGCTTGTGAGAATCGTGTTGCCCTTTTGGGTCGTCATCCTGCTAGGGACCTCCGCTGTTAGCCTGGCTCCAGCGCTGCCCAGCTTCCACTGCGGGTGGCATTTTCAGCGCTAGCAGCGTGGCATGGGGCGCATTGCGGACGCTAGAATCCGGAGCTCAGCTTCGACAGTCGGAGCCTTCCAGCGACGCATGTACTGTGCCATCCGGTGACTGGCGTCAGTGCGCTGCAAGCGGAGTACCTGTACATGCAATCTGCAATAGCGGCCGTGCTACTCCCGTACAAGGTAGTCGTCCCGACTTACTAGAGGTCTCTCAGCCACGCTTCCTCCTCATCAGCGCTCCCTTCTTATTCTGTTCGCTTCTCGTTCGCAGTCTGTCTTGTTTTGCTGCTATTGCTGCTGCACAGTCGTTTGCCCGTCTTCTTTCAGCGACACAGCGAGTTCTTGTGGCCCTTTTGGACATGCCACGCCGCATCTGAGACTGCCCATCGATAGCGGAGCAGCGCCATGGACGACGCCTCGGCGCCGGCAGAGGCGCGACGGTCCAGCATCGAAAAGGCGCCCCTCGTCCTTGATACACCCCCGCCGTTCGACGGTCTACCAGACGAAATCATCGAGCAGTGAGCATAGCAACCCCCCCCCCTCCCTTTTGGACTGTAGATGGCGTGGGCATGGCGGTTCGGGGCCAGACAGTAATTTTGCGGATGGAGATGGAAGTGGACGCGGGAGGGCAGACGAACAGCTGTGAGACCAGAAAAGAAGAAGAAAACTCTGACGGAAGCCCCATAGGATACTCCTCGCCACGGATCCCAATGGCTTCGCGTCTCTTATGACCCTCAACCGAAAATGGAGAGATGTATCTCAACGCCCGCACGTCTATCGATACCACCTCGCACGATGTCCGTCATATGCTTCGTCCCATCACAAGCTGCCGAGTGCCGACGTCGAAAACTTGCCCAAGCTACGGCGGCTGTTTGCCAGTGAGATCAAGCGCAACCTCTTCGAATCCTACGTGCGACCGAACGTGACCGTTTTCAAACTCGTATCCAAGGCAATCAGCTCTTCATCATGTCCGGGAGGAGAAGGCATGGCGTTCACCACGTCGCCAAATGGGCATCACGTATTGGCGTATAACTCATCCAGGCTGTACCTTATAAACGCCCAAGGATCGGAGATCGACATAAAGCGCGAGTTCAAGCTGCTGCGGCGCCCGGTATCGGCATGCGTCTCCAACGATGCGAACCTCCTGGCTGTTCTCTCCAACGAGATGCAAGTTGACGTTTACGATCTGACGCAATCCCCACCCAAACGAAAACAGTCCCTGATTCTCGATAACGATCCGAGAACAATTGCGCTGTCGCCCTGCGGCACAGTTCTTACCGCGGCCTATGACGGCGGCATCGAGGTCCAGTCGCTGAGCCGCGGGGCGTCTCCCACCGAAAGGCGTGCCGTCAAGTGCGATGCAGTCGACGCTTTGGCTTTTTCCTTTGATGGCACGCAGATTCTCGGGACAACACTTCACTCATCCCCACCGAGCACGGTCGTCATCACCGCACCATATTATGATCCCGGCGCTCTTGCAATGGACCAAAGCGAGGAGAACCTCAGCGCAATGTGGACCACGTCCATTCTATTTCCCAACTCGAGCCGAGACTGTAGTCATGCCGTGCTGTTGCAGGATGGAAGCCAGGAGGAGGCTGCTTGGGCATTTGCATACGATCGCAGCTTCGAAACCTTTCGTGCCGTTCGAATCGATGATTTGAGAAACGGCACGACGCATTTTACTGGCCCGGTGCCCAAAACAGCCTCCCAGGCCAAGCTTCTTCCTTGTACGCTGCCTTCGGCTACATACCATGGTGAATTGGTGTCTGCTTGCTTCCACGGCAACGAAGTCTGGATTTACGGAGTACCCGAGGACCTGACAGCGGTGCCTGATGCTTCTCTAGCCGCCAGTGATACTTCTGGATTGGCTAGGAGGAATAGCGCTCAGAGCCACTCCTCGCGATCTCCGTCCATCAGGACACAAGAAGTTGTTGTGCCCACAGCTGCCAGTGCCAGAGTTCCCCAGTGGCAGATCCTATGTGATAAGTTGAGAAACAACTTTGTGGCAGGGCACAAGACGTCAGAAGTTATCGGCGTGAGCAATGTGAAATGGGTTTCGGGATTTGGCGATACATCGCTCAAGGAACGACTTATTGTCACTGCTACAGGAGTTACAGGGCCTAGGCTCGTTACCGAAGATGAGGACTTTGACTTCGTTGATGGTGGCAGAATTGCTCTAGTGGATTTCGGCTACGCTTTCACTGACGGAACCGAGACAGAGGTGACTATCGAGGTCGGAAGTGACGATGCCGAAGTTCTCGAAGAGGAGCAACGTGATATAGAAACCGACGTTGCTATTGTGCGACGAAGGACAGTAGCCCAGCGAGGGGGGAGGGGGGGTTCACGGAGAGCCAGCTTGATGCGTACTGCAACAGTCGCCGGGATTCATACTTCTCCTACTTCGTCTTCTCAATACATTGTTTCACCCATCTCACCCATATCAACTCGAAGCGCCGATGACGACGATCCCCTAGTGCCAAGGACGATGAATCGAAACCCTGTCAGCCGCCCGATCATTCAAGAGCCTATCGACGACGAAGAATTTTTGTCGATTGAAGAGCAGGAGGCCCTGGATGCCCCATATGCCCACTCTAGTCCGCGATCAGGGACAACTCTGCGCCGAGCAGCTACAGTGGCCGCTGCAAATCGTCGTCTAAACCCGCGGACGGCGGATGGCCGGCCCATAGAATACCGCCGGGCAGACGGTAGGAGGGAACACCCCCATGAGAGTGATGCGGATAATTGGGAGCCACCGCCGCCGCCTTATCAGGCAGAGGATCCAGGCGATACACCTGCCTTTCTGCGCGGCCGTGCTGTGTTGGCGTCTGCCTCGATCCCAGTGCAAACTCAGCCGTACCTACCAGTACAGATGCCTCAACCACCCACTTTGGCGATTCCACCAAGCTTTCAGCCGATCCCAAGTCTCGGGCCCGGCGTTGATGGTGTTGATTATAGCGGATCTGCTCATGCGAGATCCGCCAGCGACTCAACAACTGTGGTAGGCAGGCTACGGATTGATGATGGCGTGCCTCTACCCTTATCAAGCACATCTGGACCACTAGATCATGAGGATCTATATGGAGTATCTCCCCCAACTTCACCAGTTATGTCCCACAGTCAAGACGGTCGATCTACGGCCTTGTCGCGGGATTCCATCACGCCACAGCCTACCTCTGTGACATCAAATTCTTCCACGGGGGCATATGAAGGCAGCCCTGCCGCTATAGTCCCTATGTTGCATCCTGAGTTTGATTTTGGTGGGCCGGGCCTGGGGCTTGACACTGCGTCGATTTCAACAATGGAGACCAACGACGTCTCTTGTCACCTCTTAAGGAGACCCTCTAATGCGCAAACCTGGCCGATGGCTGCTCCGGAAGAAAGACGCGACTCGAATGCTGAAAGCGAAACAGCGAACTCCGCGTTACCACCAGCCCCTAGCTCGGACCAAATGGCCAGGCTCATTAGGAGGGCCAGCCAAGGAAACCCACTTAACCTATCGGGTAGCCTGCTTTCAGCGCAGAGCCCCCAGGCACAGCGACCACAGCCGGTCGGGGGCTCTTTGACCTCCACGGCAAACGAGCCTGACCCTGAAATCGACCAGCCCCTAATTATCAGCACCCCGGGAGGTGTAGGCGGTATCTTCGATCCGCCAGGGCGCAGAACGTCTCGCCGGGGTGATATGCCGATCGTAGCGCCTGTGCCTAGACGCCCTCGCGCGACAGGCGGCTCTGCCCTCCCTCCCACGGTAGAGAGACTGGAAACGATCTCCACTGGCACTGAACCTCCCCTAGAGGGCACTCTCGCCTTGCCGACGTGGATGAGGGGGCCACCTACCTCGCCGGGCAGGCAGACATCGAATATAGTGAATAGACGGCCCAGCCGGGCTGAGAGGAGCGCGGCCAAGAATATGCGTGATGCGAAGAAGCGAGGCTGGAAAGCGAACGCCAAGAAGAGGAAGGACGAGATGAAGAGAGTTACTGCTATTTTGGAGGAAGATAATAACGGCAGTGTCTGGGTGGACGTGGATGCACCAGCTGCTGCGAAGGACCATGATAAAAAATGCAGCGTTATGTGATGAAAAAGGGAAAATAAGCTTGTTTCTCCCTCTCAAATTTCCGCCATTTCCTTTTTTTTTTTTTTTTTTCCTTCCCTTGAAGAACACACTGTCATTTTATGGAATGGTTGGTGTTGGCATATAAATGAGCGGGCCGTGCGAGTTTTTTTTTTTTTTTTTATTTTGTTGGTATTTTCTAAGAGAAAAAGAAATCCGTCTGCTTTCTGTTTGATATATAGTTTTGCGTTGGATATAGTCCAGACAGATACCAATATTGGTCTTCGCAACAGCTTTTTGTTTTGTATTTTTTTTTGTGTTTATTTTTTATTGTTTTTTTGTTGAACGACTATCAATATCAGCAACATAGCGTGTGGGAAGATTGTTGAGAGAGAGAGAGAGAGAGAGAGAGAGAGAGAGAGAGTAGGTGGAAGAGGAAAAACAGGGATAAAATTAAAGGGGGGAGGGGAGTTTGTGCACTTTCGTTAAGGAAAATGCTTGCTCTTTATTCTTGTTTGTTTTTGCATGGGCTTGATTGTATATTGAAGCGATATATGTGTGATATACATATCAGGGGAGAGGTATTGTTTGTGTGCATTTTTAGATATATACCTATGCATACACAGCTGCATTCGTTACTAATATATACCTAGCGAGAGAGCATGATCTTGAAATAATTATATTGATCGCGTTTGATACTACTTTTATCGTGTTAAACCCAAATTTTATTCCTAATATGTATGTGTGTGATGAATTATTTTAATTGGTCTTTTTTTTTTTTTTTTTTTCATTCTGTATACAAATTATTAAAGCCAACCAGCAACATATTAACCGCCACAAATACACTTCAGGGCCATCAAGGCCCGACCAAGTCCAATCTTTAAGAACCAAATAGATAAATGACCTTCCCATGTATGCCCTTCCCATTGGGTACGACGAGGTAAATCCACCCAAACAGTATGTCAAATTAAGCTGCTTTTGCTGCTGACTCCCCCCCTCTCGCTATCCATAGCTCGTGGTATATGCCTGCACAAAGGAGATAGGAAAATCGTTAAATGAATCTTGAACATCCATTGGTATCACTCATTCTTGTTGAACAAAGGAAATAAAACAAAAAGCCAAACCCTCCCACTCTTTGCCCTCTTGTTGCCGTTATGCACATTTTAACAAGCAGGGCGCCAAAAAACAAAGGGAATTCGTAAGAATATGTAAGAAAAAGGGGAGGACTAAAACAGATACTTGTCGGTGACAAAGGGAACATGTCATCATAGAATGTTTAGATGATAGGACACGCAATATGGTCGACTTCATATCCGGGCAGGAGGCATGGGATCATGAACGACGTAGGGATGTCCACGTCGTACATCGTCAAGATCAGCTTCCATCATGAGATCTGTAAAAGTCGTTCCTTGAGTTTGACGCTTATCATAGCTGCCTCTCATCATAACAGGGTCGGCAAATACATTGATGCTCTCACCACCACTAGGCTCCCTGGGAACATTCTGCGGGTAGACTCGTGTGCTGGAAGCCTTCATGGCCCTGATAGGAGCTAATCGCGAACCAGACTCAACGACTCCTGTACGAGCATTCAGCTCATCTTCTGAGCATACGGACGAGTGGAAATTGGTAGGCGAGTGGTCTGAAGGGTTGGGCGAGTCGAAGGGATTCGGGATAGAAAGGCGCTGTGAGTGTCGGTTCTGGTAAGAGATCCTGGGCGGTCTCTGGCTCACAAAAGACCTAATGGAGGGAGTTTTGCGGATAAAATCAGCTCGATAGGAATTTGGCTGCAGGATAGGGTCAGAGATGACACTGCCTCCTTGTATACCAAGGCCAGGGCCAGGGCCGAGGTGTTTGATGTTTGCCTTCTCAGGGTATTCACTCTCGCTGTAGCGGTTGCGGCGGCGGACAAACAGGAACGCGATAATCCCTAACGCAGCCAAGACGGCGCAACCTCCGACAACGCCAGCTACGATGGAGATTGTCTTTGGGTTCGAAGCCTTGGGAGCCGGGCTCGCAGTCTCCGTGGAAGAGGAGTCAGGCGATGAAGTGGTTGACGGGAGGGAAGTCTCTTCTGCGGGCGGTGTCGCTGCTGCTGTGTTGACTGGTGCAATGACGAGCGAAGTAGCAGGCGGGGATGTAGCTGACGCAGGAGCTGATGTAGCCGATGCAGGGGATGTTGGCGAACCAGACGTGGGTGATGTTGATGTGGGCGAGCCAGTAGCTGAAGAGCCGGCACTCTCCGGGGATTTGCTCTGATCAGCGTCTTTCTGGCACTGATTGCCTCCAACACACGAATATCCAAACGGACAACAAAGATTCCCGCCACATTTCCCCAGCGAGACGTCGAAAACACTGGTTTTGATTGGTGATTGTGAGTTTTTGATTGGATCCTGCAAACTGATATCGCAGGTGATGGGCTGGATCTTTTCACAAGTCTGGCCAGTAGGGCAACATAGCGCGGTTGTGTTGCCGGCTAATGGTAGGCAGGTTGTTCCTTGAGAACAGCAAAAGTTGTTGGGTAGACTCGCAGGACAGGACTCTAAGCCAGCAGCGCACTGAGAGTCTCGGACGAAGAGGGAATTTGTAGGCGAGGCTGAGACAAACGAAGCCAATGCTGAAACCAGCAGCAAGAGGCGAGTGAACCGCGGCGCAAGGGTCATTATAATACTCGCAACAATGACAACTCCAGCTAGGCACACCTATGTTGGCGGTTTGATGAGCTGCTGTCCCGAAACGAAGACTCGATATCGTCGGCGGATTTTTTGGATTTTTTGGGGGGTTTTTTGGGTTGTTTTTTCGATCGATTAAGTCAGAGATAGTTGAAGAATATACGTTGACAAGGGGTTGGCTTCCCCAAGGAAAATAGAGTTCCTTCGTAGCAACACAACTATTGACTGACCAAGCAGTCGTCTAAGCTGTTGAACGAGATTTTTGTGTAGAAGAAAGGAAACGTCAAGAAGCAAGGTTAGAAGGTGAGGCGAAGGGTGAAAGAAAGATGAGCTGAGCTGTGTGTGTGTGTTTGATCAAAGAATGAACCGTGTGTGTGCGCTGTCAAGACAAGTGACGCACATACACCGAGCAACAGGAAACAAGTACTGAGTGATGGTCAGTGTGCTAAAGAACGTATCATAAACAAGCAAGCAGAGAGGAGGGATACTGTAAGGCAAGAGAAGAGAATGGGAGAGAAGGAGGAAAAACGGGTAGGGCACGAAAACTGGATATGGATGAAGTCACGTCTGGATATGAGAAACACTCTCGGACACTGATTACGATACAAGATGCACGGATAGGCGCGCATCGGATGACTGTGGCATGCTCAACTCTTCCACAAGCGCGTCTCAGAAACAGCATCATTCTGGCTGGTCCTTGATCAAGCTCCCTCCTCGGCGGCATCCATGCTGCAGTCCTGTTCATTCCATCGAGCACGAGCATGTTTCAAGGCGGCAGTGAGAGAGTCCAAGGAGTCCCCAGGCTGCGCGCCATATGCCGCACCGCCAGCGAGTGAATGCTGGCGCCAGGCTGTCGAAACAATGGCCCGGTGGCCTCTGGACGATCCAGGACCAGTCAAAGGGCGGCTGCTGGACGGCTGCGTCACTCGACACAGGCTCTTGCGGAGGAACCGCTGGGGAAGCCCAAGTTTGCGTCGTGCTTCTCGCTGCTCATGGCGGACTGCCCAGACGACGCACGACCAGCAGACTGACAGGTGGCAATGGCCAGGGCGGCATCAGATGGCCGGGATTCTCACGCGATGCTGAGCAGCAAACAGCAAACGACTGGCCGGCGGCCCACGGCGCAAGATGGACGATGCGTCATGGCTGGGCCCCGATGCTGGGACGCTCTTGGATGCCCTCTTGGGTCTCCGCGGACCATGGCGCGATGCGCTGTGCGAAGCAGAGACTTGGGCGCAGACGCAGCCAAAGACGTCGTCGATGGTGGATGGTGGAGGTTTCAGACACGAACAGGCGGTTGGCGCTCATTGGGCGAGGCGAGAAACGAAACAGAACCTATGCGTTAGGCGCCCACTGTAGCCGCCGAGCAGGCGCTGTGGAAGCAGGCAATACGCTCCGCTGCCTAAGGCCACAGGCAGCCTGCTGCGGAGCATGTACTCCGTATTACAGCATTGGGCGCTTAAGCACGAACAGAGCATCGGCTGTGTCGAATTGATCAACTACACTATCCAACTACAACTACTGCCATGAAGATACATGTATTCATATCAATACATACATACTCTGTGGCAAAACTCAGCCAAAGCGGATGAAACAATGGCAGCAAAACGAAGCGCGGAATAATGACATCCAGCTGCAGTAGCAGTGCTACGTCTCCATCTACTCTTGGCCATCGGGATCCCGATTAGTGATGCAGCAGCCCAAAAGAGGAGCAGCACAATTCGCCAGACAAGTCCATCGGCAACGTGCGCTTTGCTTCGAATCCATATTATGCAACGTTCATTCACCTTGCAAATAGCACACGTAGTTGTTTAGACAACCATGTTCAAAGCAAGTTCACGCCTGAACAGTTTACACATGTCAAATCCCCAGCAACAACAAAACACACTCAATAGCTCACCCGCTATTCAAAGCTCTTGATTCCCTCGGCTCTCTCGCCTCTCTTCTCTCTCTCTCTCTCTCTCTCTCTTTTTCCAGCCCCCGCCTCTGCCCAGCACCACTCCAGATACCACTCTACGATACAACTGCCACCCATCCTGCTGCTACCTTGGGGTTGCAAAACATCCACCCGACTGTCTCTGTGCGGCATGCAGCTCCGTGTAAAGTCCGTTCGTTGCAGCCCCCATCTTGCCGAATCCGCATGCGGAACTACACAAGACTTGACTACTTTACAATTTACAGGAGGTATGGGGAACAGGGTAAAACAGAAAAGTGAGAAATACGACCAAAACAAAACCAACACTAATACAACGAGGATGAAGAAGACTGTCATCGTCATATACGGCCTTGTACTTGTAGCAGCAGCAGCAAAATCAGGTAGCAGTACATACATCGTCATCTTATCGCAGCAGAGGGGACATCTCCGAGGATTTGGGCGGGAACAAGGTCCAGCAATTCCGATAACATATCACTTTTTTTTTTTCCTTCTCCTTCTCCTTCTCTTTCTTCTTTTCTTTTCTTTTTTACCTTCTTACTGCACTCCCCAATATTTCCCGTCTTACCGCGTTTTCCCCTGCCCTATATACAAGACAAGGTAAAGAAAAGGGCAGTGTCCCACGCACTGTCCACGTCCACGGTGAATGCAACCTTTTACTTTTTGATGGAGCGCCATGAAGAAGTATTCGCTCCATGTTCCTGCATGCATGCTGCACTCACTCTCGCTCTTCCTTGTGCTTGTAGAATTTCCCGTTTTCACCCTCGCGCTCTGCACAATACGACATTGCGTACATCCAGCTTTTATATAGGTAGACAAGCGTGTACTACCTAGTCTAGTTGTTATAAAGCTGGGCAGCCAAATAGTCATTCGGCCATGCTCATAAATGCCCAGACTGACATTCCCTGGCCGTCGCCCAGAGAATGAAAAGCCCCAACTCCAGTTCTGTATTTGCCTTTTTCGGCGCCATCTCTTCCTCTAACGGACAATCCTTCGGTTCCTTTCTCTCCGTATACAAAGTGCTACTATGTATGTACTACTCGCTGATGTGCACCATCAAAGCACCCCGGCAGATGATCATTGATAATCTGATGGGAGTACGGAGTACATGTCGTATTATTGAGTCAACAAGCATTGTTTCTAGATATCTGACCAACAACGCCAACACATCCATCCGTCCATTCAATCTCAAACGCAATACACTCTCTGCAACCGTTGCCCATGGGCTCCCTCAGACACACCCATCTAGATCTCTCTTCCAGCTGGCTCCTTACACCGACCCGTCCTTAGCCTAAGCTGAAAACGCGACAGCCACCCCATGTATGCATCAATAGTCACCGCAATAGTCCATCATGCGGCCAGTAGATTAACTCGCCATGCCATTCCACACAACAAGTAACCCTCTCTCGTACTGTATATTGGCTGTACAGCACCAGCTCAGAGACCACATTGGGCCGCACCGCCACTACTGGCTAAGCCCCCAAATACGTGGCGACTTTTCTTTGTCCCGTCAACAGCAAGCAAAATTTACAAACCGGCCCCGTACAAGTAAATAATTGGACGATAGAAACCGAGAGAAAAAAAAAAAAAATCATACCCTGTCTTTTGTTTTATTTTTTCCGCCACTGCCAGCCCAAAGATCCATCTCGCTCCATCTCTCCTCTATTCCATCCGCCCATCTCCTCACAGTGCAGTAACGAGATCCCAAACAACCGACCCGCCCCAAAAAGAAGAAGATAAATCCAATGTGCCAGGGTCAAGTTAAAGTGGCCACACAATTACTGGCATCTACGGCTCCCGAGGCATGCACACTGTACTCACTCGCTCCATACAGTATGTATACAACCTCTCTCTCTCTTCCTCCCCCCCCTGTATCCTCACACCCTCCCTGCCCGCAAAGCCTGGCTCCAGACGTATCTCTCAACCTTTTCTTTTTTGTCCTTTCCCCTCCCCAGCCCAGCTATTCGCCTGTCATCTGATTCCAATCTCAGAGCTTTTACTGTACGTCTCTCTCTCTGTTTTTCCTGCCCCCTTGTTTTTATCCGGTCAGCTGATTCTTGCAAATTCGCTTTCGCTTGGACAGGGGGAGGTCATTCGGTGAGACTTGACAGGTGCCTGAATCCTACCACTAGGTGCTATAACATCAGGTACAAAACAAGCAAGTAAACAATCAAACAAACCAAATAAATGCCTGTAGAAAAATTCCCTCCGTATAAGTGGAGGCAGCACCACCATGGCCTCCAGCATAGTTCAGTAAAGACTGATAATGAATAATAATAATTGCTTTATTTTTTTTCCATCTGTCCGGTTCCAAGCGTAAAATGTGCACCCTCTATCTTTCTATTTTCCCCATCTCTCTCTGTCTCTCTCTCTCTACTCTACTCTATACTACCCAAAAGTTCCCTTTCCCCCCCTCCTCAGGGAATCCCTTCCTCTTTCTCCTTCTTCCGCCGTTAGTACCACCCTCCATCTCCCACCGGCTGCATCTTGCATATCCCCAACCAAGCAAATCGTCTAATACACAGTACTCTGCATATGCATATCTTAACATAGCAGACCAAATGCTGACAGCCAGCTCCAATCACCATAAATAAATATAGTATAATTTATATACCACCTTATAGAAATGAAAATCTGATGCTCTGTTCCGTGCATAAATCAAGTTTATAATAATGCATCAACATCATTGTTCAAGCCATCTCCCTCAAAGGCCTTTGTCAAGAAATGTGTCATGGAGAAGAAATGCATCATGTAGAATTAGGAATAACCATCAAATTGGTATTTTTTGGCAAGTTCAATCACCTCAATGTAGAAGAAAGATGATGACATATGCTATGTATTGCCCAATTGCAACTCCGCTATTCTTTCGATTTCCCCGATCCCTACCATCTCACTCTTCTGAATCTTCCGTGTCCCAAGGACCCATAACAATGCTAAATGCTTCATGAAACCCAGCCATGGAGGCTATCCATCCTCTCAAGAGCTTTGGAAACCAAAAAACTTGAGACATAAAATACACACGTGTTACGCCGAGCCCAATGCCAGCCTGGTATATAGTATAAGTATAGCGAGTGTATTACCACAACCTCGCAATTCAAAGGGAAAAAAAAGGGGGGGTGAAAAAGAAGAAAATGGGAAATGCGTCACTCATCACCGTCTACCATCCAGGCAGACTATCTCCAAAATCTCGTTAGTTCCTCCAAGTATCCAAGCATTCAAAGTATCCAAAGTGTTTCCAAGTATCAAAGGCTTCCCCAGATCGCACTATCTCTGTTTAAATCCGCTATGAGCTCTTGCTTGCCTTGCGGCTTCCTCTAATAATCCCATGCCAGTTGGGTATGTATGAATAAAGGGGTGAAGATTCCAAATCTTCAAATGGAAAAAGAATCCTAAAAAATAAGAGAAAAAAAAAATAATAGTAGAGAAGAAGAGATAAAATGGCAAATGCCTGCTTTGCCTTTGCGGCGGAAAAGGGAAGAACATGGAGCCAGTAGCTACTTACGCAGGCTCTGTTGCTTTGTCGCACCTCAAAGACCAGCTTTAGAAAGATACGGCCAAAGCTCGCCTACATGAGCAGGTACTCCATGTTCTGCATCCGCATCAGATCTCGCCAGTGGAGATATGTCTGCGCCACGTCTGATCCGGCGCTATCGGGCGTACCTTGCCTCGACAAATTGTCATTGTGAAGCCAGAGGCCACGCAACACCATCACCATACGGCCAAAAGAGCCACAGCTGGCCTGGTCGCCAAGCTGCGCAATGCGATCCTCAAATAGCACACGAAAGTCGGAGCCGGGGAGGCTGATTGAGCCGCACAAGAGGTAGACCCAGACCAAGCTGCTGTCGTAACCCTCAGGTCCAGAAGGAATAAATTGCAATACGTTTGTAAGCTTGTCAACCAGACTCATCGGCGAGGGCTGATTGGGGCTGAACCCAGGCACCAGACTACACAGGTAAATACGAGCCGCAAGGCGGAAGGCAGCCGTGATGTTCTTGGAAAGCTGCTTGGGCGACAGTGTGCCATTGGCATTGTAAGGCATCTTGGGTGTGAACTCATTGACCTCGGTGAGGCTAATCTGCTCGCCTAGGGCAGACACGTGTTGGCAGAGGGTGAAGTCATCCATGCCATCTCTCTTGAGCGATTCGAGGCACGCAATCTCAGAGATGAGATACATGACTCGGTCCTCGCAGCCCATCAGCTCTCGCAGGCCCATGTAGGGATTGATTTGAGACAGATGCTTCTCGCGGTACGTGTGGGCAAAGGTAGGAGATGTTCCCTGCATGGTGGCGCCAAGGATGTCAATCCAGGCGGTCAAGGTCATGTTGAACGGGGTCTGTGTCATTGGCGTGGCAGGGTCCAAGACTTGACGGGGCAGGTCCAGCTTGGTGACCAGGTTAATGGCGGCCTGGAAATGCTGGTGCCACGCAATGTCAAGCAGCTCTTCACTGTCCGAGCGGCCAACGACACACTGGAAGAAAATGAGTCCAAGAGTGGCCTCGAGGATCTGCTGGTAGTTCTCGTCTCGCTTCAGGGACTCGCAAAGCGACCAGATGGTCGCATAACGATGTCTCATGATGTCATGATCAAGGTCTTCGTTAGGGCCAGCCGACAAAGATTTAAGGTGCTGAGCTGCGATGCTCAGACAGCAGTGAAGATAGGTGTTGTTGGACTGCAGCGCGGGGAGAATCAAGTCAGATGCAACTGAGCCATGCTGGTTGGTCTCCAGAATAGGGAAGATGGTTGGCAGCACGAATTGGATGAAGTGGTCAAACAGACGCTGGTCGTTCTCATCCAGCTCAATCTTGACTTGCCTTGAGTCATAGGACGGTCCATGGGCAAAGTCGAAGAAGTTGACGTTGAGCGTCTCCTCAGCCAGCGACTCGCGGCGCTCTTCATGAACATGCTCGATCCAGCTTCCGGGAAGGGTGCCCGCCGGCAGGACGGTGCCTGCTGGTGGAGGCGGGCAGTAAGTGCTAAAGGTCGAGACTTGGGATTCTTTCAATGTCGGTACGTCATTGATGAACATTTGTCGCTCCGTCTTGACATCAATCTCGTACGGTGAATAAGAGCCAATCATGAAGTCGGGGGGCAGCTGAGAGTTGTAAGAAGAGTAATCGGGCTGGTGCATCGGGCCGTTGAAGTTGAAGCCGTTTGAAAAGTGGGAATCTATAGATGCAGACCTGTTGCGGTCCATAGGGTCGGTGTATGTTGCAGACGATGGCACGGAGTGTGACAAGCCAGGGGGTGAGGAGGAGGCAGAGTTTATGGAGGCGTGCGATGACTTTTCCGAGAGCTTCTTGCGCTTGATGATGCCCTTGATGTCCTCCTTGTGTTGCTTTCGCGCATCGTTGTTGCTCCACCACATGGGTCGCTTATACTCGCATTGCAGACCAAGGTGCTTGCATGCTGTGCAAAGAGGCGAGCCCTCGTCGCACTTCTTTCGTCTTAATCTGCAGGTGTAGCAGCCTAAAGGGAGTCGCCGTGTTAGTCTCAGAGGGTCACATTATGGCAACCTCTTTTTTTTTTTTTTTTTTTTTTTTTTTCCCAGAGAAAGGGAAGAAAAGAAAAGAAAAAAAGCGGCAGGGCAAAAAATAAAAAAAGAAAAATCAAACTAAGAGAAAGCCTGATGCTCAAGGCCTGTGAAACCCAAGATCAAAGGCTCTTCTTTCTCTCTCTTCATGTGTAGATGAACGGGGCAGCTGGTGTAAGAGTATAAGTATAAGCGGCGACATACCTGTTCTTGAGCGGCGATGCATTTGAGTTCCTCGTCGCGAAGCGCCATTGTTGGTCTTGGGAGCCGTCTTGGCCTTCCCAGACTGTGAAATCGCCATGTGTACGGAGTTCATTGATGCTCTTGACAAGATATTTTGGTGATTGGGGGGCAGGGTAGACATTTGTAGCTTGCGATGCTCAACCACTCGAGGTACCTTTCTCTGCTGCACACCGCGACCAGGGGAGGGGTGTCTCTGCACAGTGAGGCAGGGGTGGGTGTTGATACTGTGCTGGGCCGGGAGATGCTCGCACTGTACGTCTTGTCTTGTGGGGCTGGGCAAGGAGCGGGACGAAGAGCAAATCCAGTCAATGCTGCCGCTTTGGTGTCCGGGGGCCAAGTCTCGGACGATGGGCGCGATAAGGGCCGGGCTTGGTCCGTATCAGTCTGTTGCCAGGCAGCGTAGCGGAGTGAGGCTGTCGTGCCAAAGTTGGGAGCTCGGGCCCGGCGTTGAAAATATTAAATTACGTGTCTGTGATTCCAGATCTGAGTGGTCGGTGTAAGTCGTGGCGGGCTGTCGTATCAAACAACGGCGTCGCTTCGTTTGTCCGTCAACGGAACTTTGTAAAATTGCGCGAAATGAAGGTTGAAATATGTTTGGGTATGTGTAGAGAATGACTGGATCCAAGCAAGTCCGGCTTGCTTTTCACGGGAAATAGTAGCGATGTCTGGTCAGAGGAGAAGAGAGGAGAGCGGATGGGGATGGGAAATGGGGTTAAGAGAGAGGGGGGAAAGCCTTTTGGCAACAACAACACTTGGATACTCGCACCTTTACTCCAAGAGAAAGAAAGAAAAAAGAGGGCTAAATTCGAGAACAACAGGAAGAGCCATGACTTATATCATGGCCGCATTTTGCACGGCCAAGTGTTGAGCTGGCACGAGCGATTCCGCAAGGGAGATTTTGCAGCTCGGATTGCTATTTTTAAAACTAAAATGACACTAATTATGTCCATCTGAGAACCAAGACGCTTGTGCCCAGCTCTGCGCTTAGGACAGCCAATGAGCGCTGTGTAGCCGCCGAGGACCGCTGCTCCCTTGGGCAATGGAGGGCGGTGGATGTGCGGATGAGCAGCACGTAGCGGGAGAGCTACTGACCGGGGTTGGACCAACCACAGAGACGGGAAAATTCCTCCTGGATGCCTGTCTGGACCCGCGAGGATGTCACCCACCGAACGCCAAAGCGGAAAGAAATGGGCGATGCCACTTGCAGCAGTAAAGTACGTCCATGTATGTGCATACATGCACGCATGGCCGTCGGGGCCGCGGTCAAAAGCCGTTCAGACAGGGCCCAAGGGCTAAAAGCCTGTGGTCGCCAGACGCTTGGCCTAGCTTGGGGACGAAGGCTTCCCGAACGACGTCCTGTCTTCACGAAAACGTGTTGGAGAGGGCCAACACCGAGTCCCTGTAGCCGGTATCTCGTCCCCGGCGGGTGGCCGTAGGTGCTCCTGCGCACCCCATTGTGCGCAAATGTGCAGCATACGAAAGTCGCACTTGTATAGACGCTGGGTGACGGTGCTCTGCACTACCAAGAAACGTAGTCAGACATGCGGCTGTAGTTCACAATGCTAGGACTTACAGGTACGAGGGGCTACATCACAGTACGAGTGGATGCAGCTAGAGAGAAGCTCCCAGGCCAGGGTGAAGCTGTCGGGGTTGCGTTGCTCTCCATCATCTATTGGGGGCCTAACCTGCAGTACTGTACATAGTATGTTTATAGTATGTTCATATACCAGTGGCATCTGAATAAAGCAGGCCGCAGATCAAAGCCCCTGCTCGAGCACTGAGGGTGTGCTCTTCATTACCAGGAAAGCTTGGAGTCTCTGCGGCCGTAGTCCGTTGACAGCAGTGGATATTTGCATAGATAAACTGTGACAAACCCATGAAACCGAGAAGCTTGCGAATCTGCAGAAATAGATGCTCCCAGAGATCAGCATTCGCACGCAAAAGCATTCAAGGTGTGTGACTCTCTGCGACTGGGGCCAAGTGCAGCCATCCGGCCTTGCTGTAGCAGCAGCATTGTTGGTGCGCCAATATCTACCTGCTTGTTTGTACATACTGAACTGGTACTAACTTACTGTCAGGCAGCGCAGAAGCAACGCTCGCACTAAGCAGGCACAGAGCCGTGGACGGTCAATAGCCGAGTGGGATGAGGAGAAGGCCGGGTACACGCGAGTAAGGTGACCTCACTCTGCATCGGCAAGTACTGCACAGATATCTTGGCCAGCCAGGCAAGTCATCCGGCACAGAGCGCAGCGGGTCGCAGCAGCGCAGGGAGCGATGAAGGGCAAGAATGGGAACGGAGAACGGGGACGCAGCAGTGGCCGGTGGGCAGCTGGCCGACCTGTTCTGTTCCCCCGCAGCTGCCGAGCACGAGTACTGCGGTGGTTCGTGCCACAAGTACGAGTACACGGGCAACTGCAGCCACACAGCGTCAGGCGCATGTACTCTGCACTACTAAGCGATCCACGATACAGCACTCGCAGTCGCAGTACTTTGTACGATTATACATACATACGAGCTGCTGGTACAGGCAGGCACCCACAGAAACTTGAGCGAGTCGAGCGTTGACAAGGTGAGGCCTGCTTTGTGGCGGCAGAGTTGCGAGCTAGTGGCTTGGGCGCCGCGTGCAAAATCTCTGCCGGCCACGCTGATTCGCCAGACAGCTATGCCTGGCGCCTGCGATTGGCTGCGCTGCTGCCATCTGAGCCCTGCTAGTTCTCCATGCCGTTTAGCAGAAATGAGCCAATCTCGATCCCCAGGTGGTCTGTTGGCAGGGATAGCTCCCTGCGTGGTGTTGGCGCTACAGTCGGTTGGTCCCGCGGCCCCTGCCGCTTCATGCACGAGCCAGCACTTCGTCACAGCTGCAAAGCTCCGCTGCGGGGCCAAGTCCGCACGTTTCGACCGATCTTCAGCGAGGAGAAAGAACGAGCAGAGCAGAACGACTTCCTTCTCTGGCCGTTTCGACTCGTATGGCTGCCTGAGTGAGTGAATAAAGACGGCAAGAGTGGAGCGTCTCCTCATGCGAGGTAGCATTGGAGGAAGGCAGCTTGCTCTACTTGTACTCTTGCAGTCTTTTAGCTGATGGAAATGAGATATCGCATTTGCCTAAATCGGCTGAATTCGGTGCCGCTTCGCCTCGCCAGAGAGAGGAAATTTGCTGTGGCCCAAGGCAATAAGCAGTGTTATAGAAACGTGTTGTTTTGCATCTGCCTCTGCCTGTGCTAATCTAAGATATCAAGTGACAAAGGGGGCTTGGTCTTGACTTTGAGTCGAGATGGATGTCTGGGCCTCCTTTGTCCAGAGATTTGAATGAGACAAAAACGGCTCTGGTAGCATTTGAAAAATGACAAGTAATACTAGGTAGCAGTTATCGCCAAAGTAGGCAGGCGGGCAAGACCTTCCCTGCTCCTTTCCAAAGTCAATTAACCCCTCACTTCGGCCTTTTTTTCAGGGCTAATTTTGGCCACGGATCGGTTCATGGCCTGTCGGCGCTTACAGCAAGACAAGCTGTCATGACGCGGCAAATCACACTATTGGCGCTATCGCCCAGCACGTGTAGGCAATGGCCGTGTTGCAAGACCAAGAGCAGGTTGCTATTTTTAATTTAGCCCACAATCCTGCGTCTCTTTTGCAGCCTTGGTGATTCTGGCCAAAATCCTTCCGCTGCGGACTTTTATCAGATGCCATATCAGATTAGTCAAGGCTTGCGCTTGTACATCTGCGTCTGATCTCGGCTGTCGCGAGCTGTTAAGCGCCGAAGCCAAGGTGTGTCCATCCCACTCTGGTACTGCATTCCGATACGGCATGCTTCTCATGGTGCAGAATCGCTTATTCTCGTCACATCGTTGTCTCGCTTCTTCAGTTCGTCTATCGCGGGAGTATAAAGGCTGATGGGCTCGCGCCCGCCAATTCTCTGGTGTATCACTCTCTTTTACGTCTTTACTTGTGTTCATCTTCGACGTCTCTACGCAATACTTCGGCTCTCGCAGAAGCCCCACGTTGTCTCCCACCAACAGCTGTTGGGTGGTGCCTCATGCGGCATTACTCCGTCGCCGCTGCATGTCGTGCATCACTGGTAACTACGACCAACACCACTAGTTGTGGTATTTCCAACTACGACTACTAAACAATGAAGTAATAATAGCAACTGCATTACAAGCTCTAAGAACTCTCCGGGCTCACGATTCGGACTTGTAATGGCTTGCAGAACTGAGAGGATAGTATTACTGTTCAGGCATGCTACAGGGTACTGCGTACACGGCACTCGCTACTACTAACCCATCTACCATCGAGCCTACCAGGTATCTTAGCACAATGACTCCTCCCATGGCCTGAGGGCTAGGATCGATATACCGTCCTTGCGCAATCTAGCTCTAGTCCGGGCCACCGACTAATATGTACAACCCCTCACTCTTCGATCGGCTATTGATAACACCAGAGTGACTCTGGAGTCCGACGCCAGCTCCGGCGAAATGCCTCTCGCCATTGATACGTCTATCTTGCACCGATGTGGACATTGCGGCCAATGTTCCTACAAACGCCGTTCTCCTCTCTCCACCGTAGCAATTAAAAGGCTAGCTCCGGGACTATCATTTTAGCTTATAACCAGAAACTCGCGCGATCTCGACACATATGGTAATGTGGCGTTCTCCGTCTACAGCTATACTAACACAAGTGCCATTTCACGTAAATGGCAACTGGCATCTACCTTGATGCGGATACATACGCCTCTGCTAGTGGCTTAGTGCTCAGCGCCGATTCAAAAGGCCGTGCTAGCGCATAGCAGCTTCGAGTCAGTCGTGTTCTGCCGCGAAGAGGAGTACGACTGTACAGGAGCACGGATAGTAGGGCAGCTTCTCGCACATTCGGGAAAACAACATTCGTCCGAGAAAGTCGATTGATCAAATCCACAATACGACTTTTGGAGTAGCAATCGCCCAGTTCCAGTAGGATCACCCTGTATTTTTAAGATTGCCGGGTGACTTGTAGTATTTCACAAGGAAACAGAGGGGGGTAAAATGACGGCCCCCCAGGAACAAAGCCGAGATACGTGAGTGGAAATCAACATGAACGCAATCTTTTTCCGAGGCATGCCAGGCCACATCCCCAGATACACAGTATATCCCTACGGAGTACAAAATTCCACGACGCCTTATTACTACTATCTTAGTGAGCGTTGTAGTGGATCTCTCGGGTAGTGTGCTTCCGAAGCCCTTGAAAATTTGTCTCTGCGTGTGCTCCATGCTGTCGTGCTTGTATTATGGAGTTGATGCTTGCAGGTTTGAATGCGGTAGGTTTTAGCGTTGCCAAGCTGAAGCTGTGATCCATTCTTCTCTCTGCAAAATACGCCATAGAGCTGGAATCACTCCTCCGTATACTGCTCGTGCTTCTGCAAGTACTGAAAGTAGGTATACTCGGGAGTCGGTCGTGATGATAGGCCGATCGCATTGGCTCGAGTCACAACACACACCAGTTCAACTAGGCTCGTCTATGCTGTGGAACTTTGGGCATATTGCGCACCATTCATCGCGCAATGAAGATTGGGGCGCATCAATTCACGGCCATGTGAGCCTTTGAGAATGGGGGCTTCACGCAGGTAATTGGCCGGCCGTCTGAAGCTCTGGTGTTTGAAGCCAACTAATCGACGGGATGAATGGAAATGAGCAATGATGCCAGCCAGTGGTCGCTCATCTTTCCCTGCTTCCTGATTGCTGCTTGGTGTTTTAGTGGCTGGTGGCTGGCGGCAGTAGCACGAGGAGCTTCTTCCCCCTCACAGCCAAGAGGCCAGACCAGGGGACTGATTCCTGTGCACTTATGTACGTCTTGCCGCACTGTGACGAGCGGGTGCTATTTCCTAGCTGGTGATCATCAGGGTGCTATCAAAATTGGCCTAGGACCCTGGGTGTGGACTCTGCAGCTGGAGCCATCACACTATTCGGCCGGATCGGATAGGCTCAGTGCCTACCTGCTCGCATGGGGTAAGCCGAAGGATTTGTGCTTGTTCACCTGCTTTGCAGCCCTGCGAGCTTCCTGCAGCCCTGGGCCGCGGCATGTCAAAGAAGCTCTCCTGTGTGCCTCCGTTCTCGTACAGTACAGTACTCACTCCCACTTGATCTGCTCTGCCGTTATGAACCTACGACGGCCCATCCGTCCTCTAGCGGCGACCTAGCGCCGTTGGTAAAGCCGTTTATTGAAGAAGAATCGGGCCAACATTCCCCGCGCCCGTACGGCCTCCTCAGCTTTGCAGCTGTGTGAGACACCACGGGAGGAAGAGAGGTGTTCGACATGGTTTCTTGTTTTTCCTCCCGGCACGCCGCACGCCGCACCGGCCGGGGGGGGGGGGGGGGGGGGGGGGGCTGGCAAAATTTTCTTTTTCTTTTGCGTAATGCGAGCCAGCATCGCGCTCCCTGGACTCCCGCCTAGGCGCAGAGACAAGAGCTCCGTTGCACGATAGACTTGTCGGTGAGCAGCGACCAGGCTCAAGGCATGATAGCTTCCTGGTCCGTGTGCATGCTAGTCACTATCTTGCCGGCGCCGTTCCGTTGCCTGTGGTTTCTAGATGCAAGGCATTGGCGGAGACGGGGGGGCTGGAGACGGGAGCGAAAGCACTAGCATGCGTCTTCTTTACTTTGTTGGCTGCTAGCTCTGGAGGCGGCGACCTCTGACAAGAATGGCTGCGAGCTGGACTGGTTTGAGCTTCGTATCGTATAATCCGGTGGTTGAGCATCCAAAGCTACCTATACAGTAGCAAAGTCAGCTACAATCGTGCAAATCAAGGCGGGCTGTAAAGGCACGTTGCAGGGCACGTCTTCTGCTCGCCTCCATCCTGAAATGACTCCACGAGGGCGAATTGATGCGATTGATGGAAATCTGGCCAATGGGCAGCGCTGAGGCCGCTGTCGCGCTCTGATTGGGCCTCGGTGGTAAATTTGAGCCGTGCCCAATTGGTCTGCGTGACCTCGACAGCACGTGGAGTCTCTATTTTCGCCGCCTTCGGCCCTCTGGATTGGCTACATTCACAAAACACCACTCTGCAAATTTCCCTCTACTCAAAGTCATCCATCTCGTCCGTCCTTTTTTCCTCGTTGCCTGATGCTACGCGTGCCGCTTGGCCCCGTTCCATCCCCGACCCCGTCCTGCTCTCCAGCCATCAATCGGGCATAAGGTAAGACATACATGTGCGCTACGCAGCTTCGCTCTCAGCGAGGAGCCATTATCGTGCCATCCCCTCCCCCCATCCCTTGCCCTTCATCTGCACTCGCAGCGCTAGTCGCACGAAATGCCTCTGCCGGCCTGATAGTCTCATGCACAGTAAAGATACAGTATGCACAAGGGCCCTGGCAGAGCTGCTCGTGGTGGCTAGCCCGGACCGCATCGCATGATGGCCACCCCCCCTCTCCACGGCCTTGGCCATTCTCTTTCGCTCTCGTTTTTCCCTCATCAATCATCTTGGCCGTCGCCAATTGGAGCTTTCCGTCCCTCTCCTTCTCTTTTCTGCTGGATACGATGTGGGGTAACGGCTGGAAAAGCTGACTTGATTCCGAAAGAAAGATCGGCTCCCTGGCCCTGGCCTGGGTGTCACGTCGCATCTCTCATCTCTCTGCGTGGCCATTGTAGGCCGCTAGCGTATCTAGCTTCCCTGGACGACACCGGCGGACGTTGTCGTGATACCCCATCACAGAGCACGGTGGCTTGCAGGCCGTGGAGGAGATACTAGTAAAGGTAGTTGACTACTGCTACCACTAGTACTAGTATTTGCCTAGCAATACGACTACTCATTATCACTTCAACAATCTGTAGCACGAGCAGCTTGTTTAGAGCTAGCTGCGGCGGACGTGATCAAGGTTGCGCAAGCTCCAGATGCTCATGATGCGCGAGAGCGGCACCACACATGGAATCGACAAGTGCACACTGCATAGATAGTATGTGCATGGTTGGGCTCAACATGATTGACCGCTGTGTGGCCGAGAGACGTTTTGTTAGCAGGCCACATGGCTAACCTGTGCCTCACTCAGTCGTTATTGTGCTAGGATTGCTAAGCCGGCAGCCGAGACTTGCCATGTACTCTATCGCAATGAAGTCACCGCTGCAAGGGTAGAGGAGGCAAAGACAAGCACATAACTGAGATCTGCAGTCCGTGCAGACCGAAGCAGACCGAACAAGGCCTCGACGCGCC